TAACTATACTATACCACCTAAAAGGGTTCTCTTTGATTGGACATCTGGAAAGAAGAAGGGAAAAGCAGAAGAAGGAGTATCAACATGCTGGGACAGCATGTCTAGAAGGGGGGGTGATGTCAGGGCACCAGCTCATTGCTTGGTCAAGAGACATGACTAAGCCTTTATGACATGGAAGTAGCTGGTATACCTTGGCATGTGCTGGAACCTGCTGGAAGGATTGGATGGTCAGGTGACCTGCTGTGCATGGCTGTGCATGACCTCATATGACCTCATCCTTGGTCATATGACCTGATCACCTGACTAGGCTGAGTAAGCAAGATGTTCTAGCAGGTTCCACCACAGAGGTATAAATATAAGGCCTACTCTGCCTGGGACTGTCTCTTCAGACTTGGTCTCTTAGGATCATCCACAGGTACCTATACTGTAGATAGGTCTTAGTCATCAGGTCTACTCTACTTCCTTGTTGCCTGCTTAGACTCTTGGCACTCTTAGGTGAGCAGACTTAGTCAGCCTGTGTTGCCCTAACACTGTCCTCCCCTGCCTGACTTCTGCTCCTGGAGGTGCTGGGCAAGATGTGGCCCGGGTTGCAGACTTTTAATGAAGTCATGCACGACATCACCTGCATCCGTAGCTATACAGACAAGGCTACACCAGGCCATGTTCTTTGGGGGCAAGCCTTCAAGGAGGTGTATGGATTTGAGGGAAAGTACAAAACTTGGTATGAACATGCCAAGTTGTTGGAGTCTGCCAGCCTGAAGAAGCTCATCAAAAGGTTCAGCAAATGGCCAAGAAGTACATGGGCGAGGTTCTGGCTGCGTGCCTGGAGGAAGAATGATGGACATCTGAAGGATGGCGAGGTGGAGATGGATGAGCAGGCTTGGTGGGTGGAGTTGAATGAAGAGGGAGAGTAAGAGAAGGGCCATGAACTGTAGTCATTGGTGAATTGACTGTGTAGAAATACAATAGACAGACTTGGAGGTGATGTCCTCCAAGTCCTTTGTTTTTCTTGTTTTTTGTGTAGTAGTATCAATTAATAATTACACAACGTCTAGATAGAGCACTAACTAATTGTATCCATCGGACTTACGCGTTCGGTGTTAGGCAGCACCGGCTATTGAATTGCTGAGCAATGCACCCTGCCCTGCCCGCTTGACGCGGAGCGGGATTAAATTACTAAGCTTAGGACCCTGACATCTGTATCCAGAGTCCAGAGTCCAGACGTGCCCCAAAACCTGGATGCCCTCGCCTCCACGCTTCTCCACAGCCACTTGAGACGGACCCTGCGACCTCGAACTCTTTAGGCTACCAAGTCGGAGAAATGGCCTTCCCCGTGCCTCAACATCTCCCTCGAGCTGCAGCACTCGCCGACATCCGTGGTGTCTCCTCTGAACCACAACTGTCTCTTGCTCAAGCCATCTTGAATCAAATTTCTAGCCCAATACTCAAGTTGACTCCTGCCTCAGTACGGAAATGCGTTGAGGAGCTCAACCGAACTCTCTTGGACACGAAAGTTCGTCGTAAGCTATAGTGAACAATGCCTGAAATTTTGACATGACGACAGAAACAATTGAGATCCCATATTGAGAAGGATCCTGCAGGGTTTCGTCGTCAACGACAATCCGTCGTTCGTGTTTCACACCGTGCTATACGTTTGCATGATGAGGTCACGCGGCTGGGAACCATCTTGAACAACGCTAATGTAAGATCAAGCCTGATTCACACCGTCTTATTGGTCGCTAATATGTTTTAGGATGGATTGATGCCGATATTGCTACAAACGCTTGCCGCTCACAACACTGTTGCTCAGGCTCACCAGGACGCTTTGAACCGCGCGAGGGCTCTGGAGACGTTCCTCACTTGCTTTTCTCACCTGGAGAACATAATCAACGCGTCACATGAGGGTGATTTGCCTTTCGCTTCTCAAAATTGCAGGAAGCTAGCGACTTTGATAGCGACTGCGGATGCCGAAAGCCTTTTTACAGGCAGCCAATTATGGAGCCACTTGATAGTGAGGCCTTTGTTCTGCACAATGCGTCTAGATACTTACTATTGTTGCAGGATCGGTACCGAGCCACAGACGACAGCATCCAAGAGCAACTCGGCAAAGCGTATCAGAACAGTATATCGCTCAACACAGCTGGTCGAGGAACAACGCTTCGGATACAACACGCCGTGAAATGTATGTCGCTTGAGGACAGAGTGATTTGCCCCTGACACGTATCTTATAGTGCCTGTTAAGGACAAGCCATTAGAATTGTCGGCGATCGTCTCAGCAATGAGAGAAGGGACAGTGGAAACCATCGCAAATTCTCTACGCAAGGATATCGTCGCGCAATTAGTGGAGCCTGTTCTTGTCTCTTCCACGGCCATCTCCACCAATGGAGACATGCTGACCCTGAGACCGAGTAGTGCTCATGATGTTCATCCCCCTCTATTCAACTTGGAGCGAATACTCGAGTACTTGAACAATAACCTGCCGGAGGCGCTCATGACCGCCTTGCGTCTCGACATCTCTACCCCCCTTCTCAAGTGTCTTCTTATACCGTCATTGCCTCAGTCGTTGTCTACACTGTCTGCCTTCCTCACACTCCTGCATGAGGCTGTCCAATTAGAAGAGAAAGCAATGAACGGACACGATGTCAAGGAGTGGGCGGATGACGTCGGTCTCCATTACGAACGCTCCCGCCGTAAGGTTTTGTTAGATCATGCAAGAGCCATAATACTCGATAGCAATATGGGCTTTTCTGAAGTCGAGGACAGGACCGAGTCCTCTCCGTCCATTGTCCCACCTGTTCCAACGGACCCGGCCATCGCAGCGGCAGTCGAGGCAACTATACAAGATGCTAACGATGAGGATTCTAATTGGGACTTTGACGAGGCGCAAGCATCAACATCGCCCAGGCCTGCTGCTGGGCCCGCGCAAGCAAGCATATCTGACGAGGGAGAGGACATGTGGGAGTTAGACAACGCAGAGGCTCCTGATCCTGGCATAAAAACCGTGAGCATCACAAGCTCAGGGGGATGGGGTTGGGATGATGATGCCGACGAAAACAATGTTGAGAGATATCAAGACGACCCTTGGAGCCTGCCCAAACAGACCAACAAAACAAATAACACAAATCCTCCACGAGCCGCCAGCAAGTTAGAGAAAAGAGCCACTCGTGGGAAACACTCTATCACGACCTCGAAAATCGCCCCTCAAGAATCAAAAAAACCCACGCAATCCATGTCAACTGCGCCGCCTCCGAAAGCCACGATGTCAAGACCAGGAAGGCAGACGTTCACCGTCTCGCGCCGTAGCCAGTCAGTCTTCCAAGTGGCTGAGAGATGTTTGGATGAAGGGAGACAACTCTTGGCACTTCAGTAAGCTGTCTTGCGCATGGATATTAGATTGTACCCTTACACCACATCAGCGACCTCCCCAAGCGACAACCTCCAACAGGCACACTTCTGATGTCTACGCCTTCTGCCATCTTCGAATTATTCCGAGCCCTACCTCAGGAAGACGTGGCATCAGCTCGATTCGTGATATTCTCCAATGACTGCCGATACCTGTCCCAACAAGTCACAAAGCTGTCAGAGTCATGGTCCATCCAGAAAGAAGCAACCAAGCTCCAGGAAACGATCAGCAAGTTGGAGGTTGCGAGTACCAGAGCTCTCATATCCAGTATTGTGAACCTGCTTGTTCTGCTCTCTCATTATCCCGCTCATGGTCTACTATCAGAGCCAGCAAATTCAGCGGGTGAAGGCTGCTTTAGCACCTGCAGCCGGGTTCGGCGGCACATCGCACGATGGGCATGCAGCCATGTGCCAACAAGCAGTCGAAAGTGTCATGACGCGTTGTCAGACTCTGGCGAATGAATGGCAGGTACGAGAGTATTCGTTCGCATTGAGATTTCCCTGATAAGTTGTAGCCTCTTTTGACGTTTTCCAGTTACGCCAGAGCTATGGGTGTTGTCGTTGATAGTGCCCTGCGGGGAGTGATGGAGGCGATCTTGAGGCTCCCCGATATTACTGAGAGCGAGTCGCACCGGTTGAGTGCGCTATGTGTCATGATGCATCGGATGGAGGACCTGTTCGTCCGAGCTCCAGGAATGGTGAAGTCTTCCTTGCGTGCTGTGTGTAATATTGTTAGCTGACAGCTGTCCAGAATTCCGAGATCGCATTGCACGTGCCGTCATGGTTTAAGTTCAACTATCTCTCAACTCTACTGGTCAGCGGGGCGTCTCAATTATCTTGTTTCATTCTCACTGTTCGCAGGAAGCGTCGATGTCAGACTTTACAGAATTCTTTAGGGAAGGCATGCTGGTCGACTTCGACGTGCAGGAAATAGCCTCGCTCTTACGTGCACTGTTTGCCGACACACCAATGCGAGCACAAACGATTGACACTGTCCTGGCCGGACACCCAAGTTCATCATAGCCATATTGTGTATACCCATTTGTATTTGTTATACCCTTCGGATCCCATGCCCGATGCCGTTCCTTACCTGCGAGACGCAAGAGATGATGCCGTCTCACCAAACCGGGGCAATGGCGTGCTCCCTACTCCATCCTATTTATGTCAGCAAAGCGTGGAGGTCTCCAGCGCAACACATCATGTCCCTCGAGCTCTACTACAGTCCTAACAGCCCTTTCGCGCGAAAGGTTGTTTATCTTCCACTGCACTTACCTATCGACTGAACTGCCCGCAGGTGCTTATCGTCGCCCGAGAGCTGGGACTGTATTCCCAGCTCCAACTGCAGCTCGTCGCTCCAAACCCTACAGTCCGCGTACCAGAGCTACACGTGCACAACCCCCTCGCCCAAGTGCCCACCCTTGTTACGCCGGACCATGGCGTCATCTTCGACTCGGGTGTGATCGTACAGTACCTGGATGTACTCGCGGGAGGGGGTAAGATCTTGCCGCCAAGTGGGGATCTGAAGAGGTATGAGGCACTGACGTATGACCATTTGTGTAATGGGACACTGGGAGCCATGCTCTTGGTGCGGTATGAGAGTGCTGTGCGGGTAAGTGTTCGGCTGGCCAAGGAGAGAAGTAGTCTGATTACTGGACATGCATGATACAGACTCTGGAACAACACTCTGAGCCATGGGTAACCGGCCAGCTCAGCAAAGCGCAACGCGGTATCCAACGCCTCTCTGAGCTTCACCTTCCAGACATCAGCGGCCCTGTCCTTTCCCTGCAGGCTGTGGACCTGCTCGTCGTTGTTTGGTATTTGGACCGCAGGTTTGGGCATTTGAACTGGAGGGAATGGGAGGGGGCGAAGGTGCTGGCGGAGTGGTATGAGCACGCAGAGAAGAGACAAAGCTGGGTGGAAGAAGTCGCGCCTCCCTTGTAGTAGTACATCAGAAGAACAGTTAAAGTGAAAAAGGGATACGAGGCAGGGTGATCTACCTACCTAGTTCCATTTATGTTTCGTCATCGCCCCCGGTCCTGCGAGCTCTTTCTCCATCTGCTCTAAATCCTTCCTAATCCTGTCCCAGTCGGGCTTGCCGATCCTCCCCTGCTCAGGCCCGAACTTCCACACGAGAAGGTCGTACAAGTGGGAGCCGGTTGGAGGGGCGGTACGGGGGTGGTTCTCCCACAGGTAGTAGGCAACGACGCCTGTGAATACGCCGAGTAAGGGGTCGGCATATCTGAGTGTTTATGTCAGTGGATGTATGTGTATGGTACAGGAGAGAAGGAATGCGTACTTTCCTATGAGATAGTAGGTTGGTACATTCATGATGATGGTAGACTTAACAATTGGCAGACCCTGGAATTTCTTCCGAGCCTTGCCTGTTTGCATCGGACGATAGTCCCATTCCTTTCCGTACAAAGTTATCGCTGCTACATGATCTATGTAGCAACTATCGTGCATTGAGTCGACTCCACCCCAAGCAATATCAAGAACCTGGCAATGAGGCACTCGCAATCTCTTTGCGGTCTGACGACATTCCCCTTTAAACCAACAACAATCACATGACGGATCCTGACCGAACCCACTGCAGACATGGCTTACTGCAAGACGAGCAATGGCACGCTCCAGATGGTCATGAATATGGCTGATGAGATGACGGAGATGAAATTCTCGCTGGCAATTTCGTGGCCTGTCCTAGTCAACGCTGGCAGCATGACGATGATGAACCACGCAGGGCAAGGTCTTGATTCCTGTTGATTCCGTCGGGATGGCCGTCCTGTACGTACAACGGCAATGAATACATTTGGCCTCTTAGTAAATCGAGTAAGAGGCGGCTCACCGAATCACACGGAATACCTTATTTCTTCTCTAATTTCCACGCACCATTGGTGAACACGACCAGACCTTCTTTTCGCGCAGATTCCAGAAATACTGCCAACTCCTGTACAGAGCGATTATACCCCGGGGCAAACTTCAGCATTGCCTGTATCCTATCGATAGGTAGGGACGAAAGGTTGGTCAACATCCCTTGTATGAACTGATATTTGCGTATCAGTATTGTTCAGTTGGACGGCAACTGGTGCCGTACCTGCCAATAAATTTTCATTTGTTCAGCTTGCTGCTTGTCCCTCTCATCAACCCGCGGCGCTTCATCAACTGGGGCTGTGGCGATGTCAGCCCGGCCACGGTATTTGTTCCATAACAGACGCGCCTGGACGGGGCCGCTGCGACACTCCTTTAGCTGCCTCGGCCTTTTCAAGCAATATGTACCGGCTGCCTTCATTCTTCACTACGCCTTCTCCAATCCAGAAGTCCAACGCACTCTGTACGAGAACTCTGTCGATTCCCCCGAGCTTCTGCATGAGTTGCTCTAGATCCCAAGTGTCTGTCTCGAGGTCATAAAGTGAACTCTCCACAAATAAGGAACGAACCTCGTTCTGAGAATAGCTCGATGACGCCTGCTTGGATTGGTGTAGCCTCCACTTCGACCACCCGATCTTCTAGCTCTAGGTTGAGCGAGACGGCTCCGAGCTGTGGCACCCATTTCAGGCTCTTATCGGGTTTGAACTTGTGGAACTCGGCTTCGAAGCCATCTTGCAGTCTAGATAGCTAGTCAGCTATTGTTCGAAAAGGAACCAGTAGCAATACACATACTCCTTAAACTGTCCGGGCATCTTGAGTGGGACAGGTTGAATAGTCGGCCAGAACAAGCGCGAGATAACTGTGGTATAGAGTGGGTGCTGGCCCAATTTCAGTTTTCTTCTCTCTGACCAGAATCAAAGAACGAACAGATTGTTCTCCGTGCAGGTGTGTGTTCGTCCTGCGTGAATCCGACATGTCCTTCAACATTACTGCGCAGACTTGCAGCGGGGCTTCACCGAAACGCATCTTGAGCATCTCCACATTTCGTATCTCGTCATCCAGAGGTGAATTCCGCACCGCTAGAAGTCTTCCAGCGAGAAGATGCTGAAGCTCCTTGATGAATAAGTCTTGTGTGTCGTAGATGGACACTAGGGTGCTGACGATGTCCATCGGCCGCGTGGTCCGGAAGTCTGTAGAACATGAGTGAAGACCATTTCAGGGCGAAGATGGCGTAGCACACCAGCTCCAGCATCGACCGGCTCGGGCAACCAGTGCGGATCCGTGTAATCATCATAAGCCTCATGAACTTGTTGAATTGGAACGACCTGTTCCCCCTCTTGCATGAAACTCTCGTTCTCATCAGTCATGCGTTTGACGATGCACCGGACGGCATCCGGTCGGTCGCTGCGAATCGCGTCAGCAAACGGTAGCATGCTTGATAGTTTGCTCATCATGCATACCGAAGATACTTTCGTATTGGTGGCGCGACTTTATGTAGAATGACACCTTGTGGATCGATGATACGCAAGCAGCGAATCAAGGATACGTAGAACGTGATGATATCGTCGGTGTCTGCGGCGGGCTGCAAGATGCGCTGATTGACCCTGGTGACGAGTGAGCCAGGGAGCCATGACAGCGGAAAGAGAAACGGACACTTCCCGCAGGCCGTCTATGAAATCCGGTCTATACAGACTGCGAGTCATGCATAACTGGAAGAAACGAGTCAGATGCTGGATTTGGCCTAGGAATGTATGCACACACACCCTTAGATCCTGAATGGCTGGAAGGGTGTCGGGGAAGTCAACGACGATATCAAATATTTCTGATGTTCGTAGCTCCACGAGCGTCCGCGAGATAAAGTGGTCCAGCCTGCCTGTGACCATCATCATCGCGTTCTTGAACCAGTCATCTGAGGTCTGTTAGGGGTCGCTTCGCCTCGCATCTAACGTAACGCTCACTATTCTCTGTTCTCGAGAACCTATGTCCATACACGGCGGATAGCCATCTCTCTTCCAATTCCTTCGCAGCTTTGCGAATCATTTCCAACCTTGGCTCCCTCCAAATTCCTGGACAACTGTCCAGGATCTTCTGCTCCAGTTCATCGTACATGACATCGATGAAGGTCTTGTCGAAACGCTCGGAGATGCCAAGTTGAACCAGTATATGGAATAGCTTCTCGTGCGCAGAGAGAGTTTGGAGCGTCGTGCGAAGGAACAGACGAAGACCAAGAGTGAAGCTTGGTGGCAGACATGCGAGCCACCGGGCACGGAAGAGAGCAATGAACTCTCCACGTGCATGCTTCATGAAAGCCGGACTGATAGTGAATGAGGCATTGAGATTTAGAAGAAAAAATGCCCTTACTCAAGGCTGAAAGCATCGAATGGCTGGGACCAAGCCAGGAACCACTCGTACATTCGTTGAATTAGCTTCGATATGGTCTGAACAGCCATCTTAGCTTCCCATAGTTGCATATGCGTTCGAACTTCGTCTTCGATCCAGGCGAAGCATTTATCGAGGCTTGCCAAACGGAAACGGAGCACCTCTGAAAACATGCCGCGGGCATGTAAGTAGGACATCGCCCCCTGAAGCTCTGGAACGTCCGATGATTCGAGTGGCTCGTTCAATGGGCGAGGTTGCATGAACGTCCGCACTGTGCGCCATGCCTTGTAATGGTCAGCGAAGGAGACAGGGAAGATTGACGGACTGACCAAGACGGAGAGTAAATCACCGTTATCTGTGACTTCATTGAAAGCATCCATAACCTCCTTCCAACCAATCTCAATAGACACATCCTCGTAGCTCTGCTTGGATAATGGCGCCACTTCCGGAAACGCTCCAACGGTGGTCGTAATAGGCTGGATCGGCGGTGGGGGCATGAAGGATGGTGCGTCCATGAAGAGCAGGGCGGACGTGGGTTCCAACATCATGCGATATGGATCCTTGCCACTGTCCCGCAGCGACTGAAGGTGGGTGGAAATACGGCGGTGCTCTTGCGCTTCGCTCCTGTCCATGGGTATGTATGCCGTGTGCCAGGGATCTCAGACCAACGCGTTTATTAGTCGCGTCACGGGCACGTGTTGTCTCAGTCTAACATCATGATGGCCATGAGACTTTCTGTACGATAGTGATAACAAATGCTCTATTATTCTATTGTCTAGTCATACATTTGATTGCCCTCGGGCAGTCACAACACGAGTAATGTGCTCTTGGGTAAAGTGAGGAAGAAGCCACTCCGAACTGTCGAAATAGCGATAATCGGATTCATTTCTGAATCTGAATGTAGTCTGCGTGATCGTCCAGGGGTGGCAGTTCGTCGCTCTTCACGCCCTCTTCTCCCAGTGCGAGCTGTTTGAATACTGCATATGCGCGGTCCAAGTCGTCGTTGACAATGACATAGTCGTGATTCTTCTCCTTAGCATATTGAATCTCATGGTATGCAGCTTCTAGACGTGCTTTGACGCTTGCATCTGTCTCCGTTCCACGACCAGTAAGGCGAGATGCGAGGGTTGACCACGAAGGAGGGGAGACAAAGACGTATACAGCGCCCAACTCTGAGTGACTTGCTTTGATCTGCTTCACGCCCTGCATCCAACGTCAACAAGCAGCCTAGCTCTGCACAGGTTGCACGCACCTGGAGCTCGATATCCAGAATACATCTACGCCCCTGCTGACTAACATCCTTGACGGCTTGTACGCTCGTCCCGTAATAGTTGCTCGAGAACTTGGCGGTTTCCAGGAACGCCTTTTCACCGATCAGGTCTTCAAACTTTTCTTTCGTAACGAAGTGATATGCTTTGCCATCCTCTTCTCCTGAACGAGGCGCGCGGGTGGTATCTGGCGGTTTTATAAGCATTAAATAGTTAGCATATTGTCCAAAGACCTACGAGAAACACTAAACCCGAACTTGTCTGGGAATTCCTCAAACAACCGCTTCAATAGTGTCGACTTGCCGGTCCCTGACGGTCCAGACATAACAAGCGGGCGGGAGAACTCGCTGACAGTCGTCATACCCATCCTGCTCAATCTGGTGAGGGAATTGGAGAGAGAAATCTTGCTGAGGGGTCTCGCTGCCGCAGCAACTTTCCTTGTGTTGATCGGCTGCAACGCAGCTCAGAAGTTTGCCAGGGACATGAAGTGAATAGACCTTGTGAAAGCACAGCCCCTTACATACGCCCTTCATCTGTGGCACGTGGAACACTGAGTGGGCGCTAACCCTAACCAACCTCCTAGGGACGTGCTTGCAGTACTGTATACCCACCTGTTCGGCGTATCGACAGACAGACAGAACATGCGACCAGGGAGGAAGGACGCCGATTTCAAAGTCGCTAAACTTGTTGACTTGCCTAGGGCGAGCTTTAGGGAGATTGAGGATGAGAAGGCTACAAAGCCGTTCGGGGTGCATGATATGCAGGCCAGGTCGTATGGGTGTATGTCCAATATATGTCCCCATTGACCAAGGATAATGACACATGCACGACAGATAACAATTTTGATGATTGGGAGCGGCCGGAGTACTACATCCGCTATATCGGTGCAGAGCATTCATCGTTCTCAAAGCACTTACTCACCTGTAACTCAGAGCCCATCGAGGCCGAGTTGGCCGTGCAGGTCGAGTACGACATGGATGAACAAGATCAGGAATGGCTGGACTCACTAAACAAAGAACGGAAGGATCAAGGGATGGATCAGGTGACATATGAGACGTTCGAGATTATTATTGACAAACTGGAAAAGGAGTGGTTTGACTTGGTAAGACTGGTTCAGCCGATCACCACGATCATCCCGCTGATATTACTACAGATGAAGAGAGTTCCAAAGTCTCAGACGGATGCACCACCAGAAGACTCCACTTGTGCCGTTTGTGATGACGGCGAAGGGGAGAACAGCAATGCGATCGTGTTCTGCGATGGCTGCAACCTGGCCGTTCATCAAGGCGCGTGCCGTATTTATCATAACGAAAGAGGACTCACCGTCGTGTAGAATGCTATGGTATTCCTTATATCCCGGAGGGTCAATGGCTTTGCCGAAAGTGTACAATTTCCCCAGAAAACCCTGTTGTACGTGTTTACGTCGTCGATGGTCGAAGATTGGTATTGACAACTCACAGTCATGTGTGCTTTGCCCCGCTGAAGCAGGTGCGTTCAAGCAAACAAACACGGGGAAGTGGGTACATCTTCTGTGTGCTTTGTGGAACCCAGAGGTTACAGTCACCAAAGGCGCCTATATGGAGCCGATCGAGGGCATCGAGCGGATATCCAAACCCAGGTGGAGATTGGTAAACAGCACAGAATGTCTGCTTCAACATCAACTGACTGTTGAGGACAGGCTTGTAGCATATGTGGCATCAAGAAGGGCGCGTGTATCCAATGTCAGAAAGCCTCATGCGCGACGGCATTTCACGTCACCTGCGCCCGGCAGGAAGGCTTGCTCGGTTCAATGAAGTCCTTTGCAGAAGAAGAACATTCCCTGCGTGTATTCTGCGAGAAACACTTACCATCGGATATGCTCAAGAATCGCCGCGTGCACACTCCACCTCCTGCTTCTGTATCTGGCTCAGCAACACTCAAGTCCACGAAAGCTGCATTAGCACACTCTTCTGGTTATGCCCCCCCGGCCCCAATCATTCCAGCATACATATACGATCGCGTCCTTGCATATATTCTGAAGATTCGAGTGTTGAAGAAGAGGGATTTTTTGGCGCTGGTGTGCAAGTATTGGAGCTTGAAACGGGAGGCGAGGCGCGGTGCACCCTTGCTTAAGCGATTACACCTTGAGGTGCGCGACAACCCCTACATTTTGTAATCTCTGGCTGACACAACGTAGCCCTGGACCGCTAGCTCTACAAATAGGCACAAAACGGACGAACAAAAGGCTCGACAGCTTAAGGCATGGCGTTGGTTCTGCCTCGCGAGCTGCTTTGCTAACTTCACGCAGTTCCTAGGGTCTCTGCGCGGGGATATCGAACGTACTCGAATCATGGCGGAATACGTCATCCGTCGCGAACGAAAGAAGATGGATCGGATCGAGGCATTCCAGAGCACCCTTGGCACAATGCTCTTTCCATTCGAGCACGATCTCCGCGATGCCCTGGAGAAGGTCGTTGCAACTGACAAGATGAAATATTTCCATGAACCAGTCGACAGAGCCGATGTTCCGGATTATTACCTCATTGTTAAGAACCCGATGGATTGGACTCGGATAGAAGAGAAGATCAAGGACCATGAATATATGAATGTGGATGAGTTCGGCGTGCGTTCTCGACTGTAAAATATGAACCCTTCTCACATTTTCCCAGGACGATGTGAACCTGGTCGTCGACAACGCAATGCTGTACAACGCCCCAAATTCCGTCCACTACAAGAGCGCCATGAAATGCAAACTGGCATGCGAACCAATACTCGTCGAGTTAAGCAGACTTCAAACGGACGTAGCTAAAGCAGACGGCACAACAACCTTCGGAGCTACTGATGTGCACGCGTCCACGGCCGATGGTGTTTACTCCGCAAACCCCAGCGAAGGGGACACATCGCGCATTCCACCACATCTCCGCTGTGTTAACAATTTGGAGCCTTCGATCGCAGTGCTAGATCTCCTCGTTCGCTCTGATGTTATTGATCCCCAAGAACTCGACTTCACCCTGGCTGGTAGCGCTCTTGACTTCCTCTCCTTCTACGGTGTCACCGAGCTGAAACCGCCTCCTACACCGCCACCTCCGCGGCCCAAAATTCCCAGAGATCGCGTTGCTGAGAGACAACGAAAGCAGGAGCGGCGTGACCGAGCGGCAGCTGAACGCGAAGACCTCCTCCGGAATGCATTCCTCATGCCTAGAACAAGAGGAAGCAGGAAGATCGCTGATTCAGGCCAGGTTCAAACTTCTACCACTTCAGAAACTCCTGCTGTAGCGGATGGATTGACACAGGAGCCGGACACTTCCACGATTGGTGCAAGCGAACTGACATTATCCCCTTTCCACCCGGCCATACCGGAAGGGTCAGGCGATAAGTCAAAGAGGCGTAGACGAGAAACTAGTGACTTACCTGGAGTGCCACTCATTGTGACCGATATGAACGAGATGACGTCCCATGGGCAATTCAAGCACTTCGAAGCAGGTTGGGTACTCAGCTCCAGAACTCGGTCGGGTAGCAAACCAGGGTTTGCCACACCACCTCCTTCTGGACCATCAAGGAAACGTGGCCGACCGAGTGAAGGACCTATGTCGACCACACCACCGCTTAAGCGACAGAGACCAAGTAAGTATCCTTCATCATTTTCGAATTATGTGTTAATTCTTGTAGACCTCAAACATGAGCCTTCAACCACGTCTTCTGCAGTACAGCCGACAGAGGCTACGAACATCTTCTCCAGCGATGTCAGCGATGTCACCGAAAGCGACGTAGAGACAGATGCAGACATGGAACGCACAAAGCGAAAAGCCGCCTCTCCACGCCTAGTGGAAGAGCCCACAGAAAACCATGAACCACGGAAGTCTCCGGCACCTTCATTTAGCGTTCCCAAGTCAGCCAGTTCTGTTCAGCGCCAAGGAGGGCGAAAGCCCATCATCACGGGGATGTATGGAAAGAGAGGGAGCAAGCCAATTACCGTCAAGGACAATGACATTGATGAGGAGACTGCAGCAGCAACTTTCCTACCCAACACTCTTGGTACGTTTTTCTCCGTCGAGGTAGAGTTGCCGGTGTCTTACGCGTTTTGTGAAGTGTGGGCGAAGCAGGACACTTTCCCCTGGTTCCCCGCTGAACTGGCTGAATTAGAAGAGCCTAATGCAGAAAAGGCTTTTGTCGAAGCAAGAGCCGCTGCACAACTCAAATATAAGAATAGTAGGCTATGGCATGTCGTGTTCTTCGACAAGAATCGAACCTCGTATGTTATCCCCACTATTTTTCGCAACTCTCTGATTGAAGACGCCCCGCACAGTGCGTGGGTTCCTGCCACTAAATTATATCTTTTGGCGGAGTCAAAGGGTACGCTCAAATGTTAAATTCTGTCACACACCGTCTGAATAGATTTTTTGCAGAACTAGATGCCATTTTGCTAGGCACTAAGCAGTTCAAAAGCGCGCACTTGAAGCAGAGTGTGAGACACGCGTACAAGTGAGCTTTTTTCTGTCATAAGGTGGGACATGTAACTGATAAATACAGTGATGCATGTGCACAAATACAGACTAGTGATGTGGCTAACGAATTCGAGCTGCTGATGAGCATATAAACGACGCGGCGGGGAAGTTGTCAGACAGTGCTGAGCCGGAGAATCCGCCAGTCATTGATGGGATAAAAGGGGAGAATGATACAGACGAGAATATGGCAACGGACTATCCTGTATGACTTGTTCTAGATTCTTGTACTACTGAATACTGGCTGCTGTATCAATACCTTGTACCTGTATTCTATTACGCAAAGCTGACGTATGAGTATATCGTCTTTACTTCGGTGAAACAGCTCTGGACCCTACGACGCTCAACGTTGCCAAAAACGCGAACATATCAACGCACACGTCTTTGGACACAGCTTGTTGGGTTCAACATGTCCTCTTCGAATGCAGCAATAGGACAAATACTTCTCGCTGTTTCAATATTTGGTCTTTTACATTGTGCGCCCTCATGTTCTATTCTCTATTGAACAGTACTAACGCCCTGCTCAGCCGCGTTTTCCTCATATGAGCGTGCGTGCCAAGCTACCTGGTAGTCCACGAACACTCCCTAAATCCCTCTCCAGAGTTATCAAAAATGAAAGCTGCAAGCGATCCTGTACAACTTCCCGCCATAGATGTACGCTTGTCGATCTCATTCTCATTCATGTTTAAAACTGAGAAGTTGAGCAGGTCATGGCAGAAGCTGTGATCTCCCTTGTGGTTTTCACCTTTGGGGCTGCGTTCTGGTCTCCAGAATTAAAACCGAACACATGGGCTGCCGAGATGGCACATCGGTGCGCTGCACACCATCCATTTATGCTGGGTACCTGATTGACATCAATTGCGTAGGACGATCGATCAGATGAACTCGCGTCCGGGGTTCGCGAGGATTGGACATAGAGGGAGGTTTTTGCCTGGCAAGGGAAAGTCATGATACTTGGATAATAATTACTAATAATGGAGAACGAATGATGGTGTTGTACAGTGCGTAGTCGGTCCTACATAGAATATGGTGCATGATGGTCTGTGTCTTCTCCCCTGCTCTCCACTCGAGGTGTCATGTTCTGGCCTTGACCCGATGGCCCCCTCCAAATACGACGCCTTTCTTCAAAGCCCCAGTCCTCTTATCCAGAAAGCTGAGCACATCTCCGTTCGTCTGATTCCTCTTTCCTATCTTGCCAAGTTTCGTGGCCGGCGCTGCGGCATTCTGCCAACCTTTGCGCTGACCAGCGACCAGCTGCCTCCGGTCGGCAAGCATGAGATCCATGCTAGGGTCGAGGCCACCGTCGTCGAACGTCGAGACAACTTCGAGGGACGCGTCTTCCGTCACAGGGGTGTCTTCCTGGTGTTGTGGCAGAGGATCAGAGCGTTGTGAAACAGGGGACGGGGGTGCGAGTGATTGGCGGGTGGAAGATTTTGGAGCGGAAGATGAGGCTTTCAGGCGGTTTAGCTGAGCTTGAAGGTTGGATTCCTTGTCCTTGGCGAGCTGGACGACAGCTTTGTAGCGAGTGATCTGTTGGTCATTGAGTGTGAGGAGTTAGAGAGAGCGTTTTGTGGTTCTACTTACCCTCTTGTCTTTTTTCCTCATCGACGTTACAGCCTCTCCTATGTGCCGCATATGCTCCTGTTCCCGTCTCTCCACCGCCGCTATGTGCCTAATCGATCCTTCAGTTATTGTCCACGGTCAACCGTATCAGACACACTCTGTGAGTTCCTTGACTTCTTTGACATGCTTCTCCTCCCTCATTTTCAGCCTTTGCACCTCCGTACCCTTCTCGTACACCGCATCTTCCAGCGCGACCCTCTCCCGTGCGAGCATGTCGAAGAACGTAGTCCAATATCTGTCCTTCTCCGCCAACTCGTTCTCCTTCTCCGATGCACGGACAACAGCGTCTTTTGTGGTCCGCTCCAATACCTTAAGCTGTGCCCGCAACAGCCTCAGCTCGTCTTTCTCCTCCGCCTCCGCCAGCTTAAGCATCCCCTCTGCATCCGCCAACTTCGCCTGAAGCTCAGACGTCCGCCTTTCATACCAGCTCAGAGTATCAGTTTCGTCTTTCGGGGGATGTTCCACATGATCTTTGTCGAGGTACAGCCGGACGGGATGAGGTCCAAGACATTCAATCTGTGCTCTGCGCGTGGGGAGCTTGCGGCAGAGCTCGGTGATAAGAGCTCGTGCATCCTCCAATGGGAGGGTACCCTGTCCTGTTTCTACGATGGAGCGGCAGGAAGGACAGACCGATTGGACCTTAAGTGCGTGGGTGAGGCATTCGGAGCAGAAGGCGTGGCCTAAGAAATTCTCAGACTATCAAGGCAGCAATTAGAGGTCGCAGGACGTACCACATGGTGTACAAGCAATGTTCCCATTGCTTCCAATTTCATCGAAACATATTTGACATCGGTACATTGCTATAGAGTGTGAAGTATAAAATGTGTAGCTGTGAACAAGAGGATTTCATTGACGCGATTCAGAACGCGACCCCAGTCACGTGATGATCAGGTTCACCCCAGTTGTTTCCGTGCCAACGGTTTACACTGCCACATGTGCTTGATCGACACCGTTGAGTGGCTGGGGTAACAAATATTAATGGCATTACTCTCTGATCGGACTATCTGACCATATGTTTGATTCATCATTCGACTATGTACTCTGACCAGCATGACCTCTTCTTTGAGAATGATGAATAAGTCGCCGACAAACCATCCGAAGGAGGACTGTTGCACTTTCCACGTACCCATCTCTGGAGGCATTCATCTCCTGCAGTCGTCCTTGTCCGTTCCCGTGAGGGCCGCAGGAACCGTGCTCCCCCCTCCCCGCATTCGGTTCAAGGATGGCAAGAAGGTGAACCCCGCCGTACAAGCAGCAGAGGACGCCAAGGCCGGTGCTACCGCTGGTGCTCGGCAAACCCGTCTTGTCCCTGTCTTCGTCACCAGTTGCGTACGGAAGAATGGGGTGTGTGCATGTGTTGTGCCAGACGGAAAACCCGCGCTGCGGGAGTATGAGACATGTGATTAGTTGCGTATTGCTTGTAATGCATCCGTTCGCTATCATTCCTCACCGCGTTCTCTCGAGTGTGACTTGTGATCGGTGTGCTCGAGTAGAACGGGTCTACGACACGGACGTCGGATGAGTCACTGCACTTGCACTGCTTCATTGCGCATATATGTATCCTGATCGCACGCGTTTATGCGCGCTCCATAGACAGTGTCTCCACTCAACGCCCAACCCGATCACACTTGCTGTTTTCTTTCCCCTGCCCGATCGACCATACCGTTGGCGAGAGAGCTGGTAAGGTTGCGACATGATGAGAGCTTAATTGAGGGGCAAGGGACGACCGAGCTGTGCGTATGTGCCGTGTGGTGTTGATTTGTTCAGGTTGGAACACACATTTGGATTTTTTGGGGGGTCTTGCCAACTTTTGATTCGTTTATTCGGGGAGTTTTGGATGCAATAATGTACATGGGATTGAATAATAAGCCAGGGACTGTTGGGAGAGCCCAGAGTATATACCAGACAAATCCAGCGTGTTCATAATCTAAACGAGGAACTGACCGAAAGCCCTCAGATCACAGCGGTTTCAAGCTCACTTCCGAAAGAGTTCTGAACGCTTCCTTGTAAGCATCCAATAGTGCCTTCACCCTCGCTCGTTCGTTCACCAACGCCTCGTCTTCATGCAGGAGATCGGCGAAAAGTTCCGGCTTGTAAAGCGAGGAGACTAGGCGATTCTGGACCTGTTGCGAGGTGTGGTTAACAAGCAGGTGCATGATCGATTTCGGTATGAGATCTTGGATTGTTTGTCGAACAATGTCAAAGTACGAGGCGATCAGAGAACGAATAAGGCTGCATTCCATCTCTTCGCGGACGGACAATGGAGCTGCGCCTTCCGAGGGTACCTATTTGCCGTCAGGAGACGTTTAGTAGCGGAGTAAAATAACTAACAGCTTCAATGTGCTTGCCAAGACTCTTCATATCAAAGGCAGCGTTGCTCCCGTCCAAGGTACGAACAGCCTGTAAAGCTGATGAGGGCACGCCGGACTCGGGATTCAAGTCCCTGCCGACCTGGGAATGCCGTGGAACCATCAGAGCGGCTGGGGAAGCACCAGGTGGCATCCCCGGTTGGTTTCCACCGAAGAAGTAGTTCAAGAAAGTCTCCTTGGCCGAAGCGGGGGATGTGCCAGCGTTCACTGTAGGGACTCCAAGTTGGGCACCACCGCTCGTCGATCGTCGATCATGGCGAGCCATGTTATGCATGGGAGGTGCCTCCTTTGCCCCCGAAGGAACGAAGGATGGTGCTCGGCTTCTGTCATGAACGGTCGAGGACACCGAGCGAGTGTCCTTGGGGGCAGTGCCATTGGGCATCACTTCCGAATGTTCGTCGTCTGCTTCCTCTTCCTCGGCAGACACAGATCCATTCATATCGGTGGAGGTAATGGGCGGGGGAACAGCAGCAGTCCTCCTCTGGTGGTGCGCGTGAGCATGAGCGGAGTTCTGCATGAAGGCCGGGTGATTGGTATTGATGTACGCAGCCTGGATGTCAATCAGGCTTGAGGCGTATTCGGATGTAGGACCAAGTCGCTCCTGCAGAAGTTCCGAGATCACGTCGATCAAGCGCGCGTGGAGACGAGGGAATCGTTGCAACTCCTAGAGAAGAGGGAATGGATGCAAGGACGAAATTGTACGTAATAAGGACTCACAGTGCTGGTGCAGTTATGGCATATCTTGACTAGCTCCTCGTACACCAACTCGACACACCTCAGACTCGGCCCCTCCAGTAGTTTGATCTGGGGTTTGACAAGTAGATCAAACGCGACTTCGGGCACAAACAAACTGGGGCGGGGACCAGTTGAGTTCCTAATAGCCGTTCGGATATCCTGAGTAGTGAGATTGCTGGTGGAATCGATGCTCTCAAGCGCGTGACCGAAGACGTCGTTAAATATATAGTAGATGCGAGCGCCGCCTGATAATTCTTTGGTGGAGATATCGCTGGATGTGCCCTCTATGGAAGAGACAAAGTCACGTGCGAAGGAAGTCATGAGCTTGAGGACGAGGGCGCCTTGGTGCTGACCGTCAAACAAGGCAGCGTCACCAAACGAATCCAGCTCGTGCTGCGTTTGACCCATCAGCGTGTTCAGCCGAGCCTTCATATCCGGTAGCTTCTCGCGGATGTGGTTGAGCAGGACGTGATTGAGCGTCTTTGCGAGGTATCGAGTACCGTTCCGGTGGGAGATGCTTCGGTACGCAGGGTGGTTCTGGAAGAACTCCTTTTCGTGCGCCTGTGCATCGTCCATGCTCCGTTCTGAATTGATATCCTGCTGGCTGCGATTGACGACACCAATGAAGCCGAGCTTCAGGGGATATATACGGCCATTCAGAATGTCGAGGGCGTTCGTGCCGGCGTCCATGAGATCTAGCTTCGTCAGGACGCCGATGGTGCGGCGACCCTGAGGGTCGACGGACCGCGCCAGTTTGAGCGCGTCCGAGTTGGCGAGATCGACATTCGCTGCAGATACGGCAAGAATTACACTATGTCATATATGAGCTGCGTTATCGTGAGCTTGTCACAAGGATGAACGCACGCATTCGGCTTGGAGATGTATTCCAGAACGAGGTTGCGAATTTGCCGCTCGATATCTGACGGTTGGTCCCCTTAGATACCACGTGTCAGGTCGCGATAGGAGCCCTCATTTAGATCTCAAACGTACCGACAGGAATCTGGAAAGTGAATTAGTATGAGATCTAAAATATCATGAACGATCGGACCTTTGTCAACCCAGGCAGATCCACTAGAGTGAGATCCAGTACTTTCGGCGAATAAATCCTGAGGGAAATCGGCAGTTTTGAGATCCCCTTATTCTGGCCCGCAACGCGGAACGTCTCAGCCTCGATCTCGCGCCGGATCTCGCCAAAATCTGTAAACCGTTTGTCGAGATGAAGGAACTGTCCGTATTCGGCGTAGCTAGACGCAGTGGGGTTATCGGGATCAGGAGGCGGGATGTGGACGAGCTGTAAAGTCAAAGGTCGGCGCGTTACGATCCCAGCACCGCGCGGGAGAAAGTCGCGCCCGACGATACTGTGTACAGTGTGAGCTGCTGCCCTTGATAATATGTGGTGGAGATTGAGCTTACGTTTCTAAGACGCTTGATTTGCCCGCAGATTGACTCCCGACCTGAGCAGTCGTTAGGGGCAGGGAACGACTGCGACGCGACCTTCACTTACGACCACAATCTGGGGCATGTCAAGCTCCCCGCCTGTATAGAAACAATGAGAATGGGATTCTGCACAAGGAGATACGCGTCCACGGACCAAGGTTGGCGAAGGTATCTTGCAGCTTGTTGACAAGCTGGATTAGATCGTTATCCATGAGTGAGATGACTTTAGGGTGGGGCGTGGGAAGGCGTGGCGATGTTGCTGAGGTAGACAGGGTGGAAATATCGCGGAGTGGGTTCGATCGGCGCAGCTTGACGGTGCTGTCGTCGTCTTTTTTATGGGGAGGTCGTCGTCTATAGTACGGCTAGAGCGAAGCGAGGCCGGAGTATACACGTCGAGCGTTGCCGAAGAGACGACGAAGACTTGTCCCGGTGCACAGACAGGGACCTTCGCCCAAAAGGACGCGAGTGCTTCCGGGGACAGACGGGAACATCACGTGATATAATGACGATGATCGTCTCACTTAGCGCAGAGCATTCCTGTGGCCAGTTGGGCATGCAGATACTTTGGCGAATCCCCATATCAAACACAATTGGATTGGGAATAAGATTATGGATTTTTGCGGCTAGTCAATTCAGCTTTCTACCTATCTACGTTTAGATAGCCTTGCTCTTGACGAGTTCTAGTGCGACATCTATCAGAATTGTCAGCAATCACTAATGAAGTGTACTCACGTTCGACCTCAGCAACCGCGCTCATGAGGATTTCCCGTTGCGTCTTCTCGCTTTGGATGTCCGCCATGACCTTTTCAATCACCGAGCGAGCAAGCTCTGCCTGCTCGTTCTCCTTCGCCTGTTGCTCGAAGCGTACCCATGAATCGAGGACGGCCTTCACCTCAGCAGCAACGGCGGTCTTCTGCTTAAGAACGTACGCTTCTCCCTCGAGCTTTGCAGTGTCCTTTACAAAGATTAGCATCATCGAAATTTTTGAGGATTGTCAAGTGCGCACTTTTGAAAGCGCGAACAGGTCCTTCGTGATAGCAACAACATCTTGCATCTCGTTCACGGCATCGATACGCTCCTGCACAGCGGATGTGTGGTGCTTGCGGGCATCGTTAAGAATACCAGCAATTTTCTGACGTAAAATCAACAACAGCAGAACGACACGTAAACAATGCAGCGTACCGCGACTTCAGCCTTCGCCCATTCTCCATACGGGCCGGACATGCCACGACCAAGGGCCGTGAGCAGGATGAGGAAGCCAACCGCCACGACCGTCTCCTCATTCACAACATACAGTTCCTGGGAGATGGCAGCGGCAGCAAGGCCGGTGCCAAGAACGACAGAACCGGTCTTGGTGATCAAGGAGTTGCCGGGGAGAGCGTCGATGATGGCAGATGCGCGCTCTGCAGGCGGTTCTGTGCAAGGGTCAGCAAATGTTCGTACATGAAGATTTCGATAGACATACGCTTCTCAACGTACCCACGCATGCTGAGAGTATGTAAGTTATGGTATACACAAGAGCTTTAGTAGAACTTCGCACCTCTGGGACACCGCAACGCGAGGCAGAGCAGCAGCGACCTGTGGGCGTGCGAGAGAGGCTACAACACCTTATGAGCATCTGGTCATTCACGCAGCGTACATAGACAACATACCCGAAGCCCTCAATGATTTTGTTAAGAGCCTGGAGGCCATCCGCACGTATAGCGACGATAGAGATGGAACGGTCGGAGTACTACAGAGCGCCGAAAGCAGATGGAGAGGAAGGGGAAGCGGAGCAGACCGGAATCAATTCGTCGGCCGGTTGCACAAAAGGGTCCGCATACTCTCGTCTTCCGCGTTCGCCCACAAACGGCAACGTTCTGTTCAAACCCGTGAGCCATGGCCAGTCGAGCATCGAAGATTACCTTTATCGCTTCGATCGCGTTCGCAGCTGTCACTGTATGGGGCGTCCATTACATGCAAGACCAAGAACGTGAGGTCAGTAAATTTGGCATGTCCAGCTCATTGGGAGAGATCCTGACGTGTATACTTGAAGTCCATGTATCAAGGCGTGCTCAAGGACGAGGCACGGGTTGCAGCAAAACGTCGGCAACGAGAGCAACTCCTGCTCGAGAGTCAACAGAAACGCGAGATCTATGAAGGTGTCCAACCTGTGTCGAATACAGCACCTTAGCGAACCAACTTAGATTCGCGTGTAGGACACGCGCCAATGACCAATATCCCTTCACGTACGCCTTCCATCGTTCCATCGCGCACCATGCTCACAGTTGTTTGACGTTCTCCAAGGTTACTAAAAGAGACATCAATGTAACATAACATCAACGCCACTCTGTACTGTAATAATGCAACCATCGAATGCGTGCAAGTTTAGACTGAGCGACGCAAACCACAACGGATTCCAAGCCAAACTACACGCTCGATTGCAGGCTTCTTCATAGTATTACACTTCGTCTTTGTCGAGGCTGGGGATGGCGGTTCTCCATCCTGTCAGCCAGACTTGAAGAGATCGTGATGAGGGTGATGAATGAGTGGCGCAGGTTGCGTTTTCCTAGTGCTATGGAACTACTTTCTGGTTGGTACGTCCTGGAAACGACTGGAATCATTAGCGAGACCAACAACCTTGATCGTCGCATTCTTAGCGGGTATTTCCTATCGTCAAGCTTGAGCGAGTTTGATCTTGCGAACCCAATCTGGGTTTCAATTCTCGCACCTTTGTTTGTGAAGGTCCCCGAATGACTCCTGCAAGCGTACCAGTGGGAGAATAGGGCATAACCGCGGGTGGACCGTCCATCCATATCCGATATATGTACAGGAGTTGTGATTATGATGGATACTCCTCTAACATCAATACACCATATTACGTACGATTCTTCCTATTGTTTCGCAAAGTAGTATCTCGATTCGTTTAATCATCAAATTAGGCGAGCTCTTTCTCAGTCTTGTAGAGCCACGCGGCCGTGTCAGAGATACTCTTCTCCAGGGAGGTCCACTTGATCCCAAAACCCGACTCCACTTTGTGGCTGTTGGTCTTGAAGTGCTCACCGGGTATACTGGTTTGAGGAAGCATACGATGTGCGTGCTCCGGAAACGCTTGGCCGGCAATCTTCAGAAGAAGAGGGATGGTAAAGTGCGCGGCGACGCACAAATACCTCTGGTTCTTCGCCTTAGGATTTGTGAGGGCGGCAATGGTGATGCTGGCACTGCAACAAAGGTGTTCAAGCTGGGGAGAAGGGAGCTGACAAAGAGTTCTTACAGGTCACGAACATCAATGAATACGGGTACCACAGGAATATCAGATACTTTCCCGGTGAACAGGTGCCACAGCTCCTCAACCGACTCATTGAGGCCGTTCATTGAGGTCACAGGTTGCATCGGTGGGCCGTACACCATTGGTGGGCACAAAGTGGTAAGGGTAAACGTACCATTCGGCTGCTTGACGAAGTCCCAAGCTTCGCGCTCTGCGATGGCCTGAAATTCATGTAAGAGAAGTGCTGAAAAGCGACCAATAACCCGACTGACCTTTGATGCAGCGTAAACGAAGGGAGGCATGTCTAATTTTGCAGCCTGTCCCCAAGTTGTTGGGTTCCAATCGTCGTCGTCGTACGTCTTCTCGGGCCATAGCCCCATAAAAGGCGAGCATACAGCGGAAAAGCTGCTCATGAGCACCACATGCTTCACGCGTGGGTGCTTCGCCGCAGCTTCGAGCATGACTCGTGTGTTCTCCTTCGCTGGGATGAGGTCTTGCTCGTTATCCTTGATATCGAAGACATATGGGGAGGCTAGGTGGATCACATAGTTGACACTGCTCATGGCGGAAATCATAGCGCCCAAGTTGGTGAGAACTGGCACTTTACCCATTCGATCGAGCTGGCCTGCTCAGGGTACTTGGCGTTGAATGCATCTCCACTATTACGGCGGCGCTGAGGAAAATCAGTCACCATATCCTTGGAATAACACAGAAAAGTGTTTACTACGACTGCCTTCACTTGATATTCGTGCTTGATGAGCTCTAGGAGGATGGTAGAGCCGATATAGCCGTTGGCACCAGTGACCAGGACGACGGGATGGCTAGCTGACATGTTGCGGTCCTATGCTGGCGTTGAGGTTGAAACGGCCCCTTGAGGGAATGAAAGAGGTTAGGTAACTTGCTGTATTGACTTTGCAGTCATTCTGGGCTACCAATCGGCCACAATTTATAGATTTCCAGCCCGGCAGGATTTCCAAGTTCGGAGTAAATTGACGCATGAAGACGAGTTGACAAACGCTTGACCAATTTGTATACTCCTATAGCGCATCATTTTCATGACGACCTCTCCGCGAGGCCAGACTTCACAATGATCGGAGCGGCATACAGAGATCCATCGACAACCCCTGCCCGTTCCCTTTTTGCACTGCCTCGGATCCATAAGTCCGCTTTTCTCGTTCCTACGCGGGCCACTTTAACTTTCGTTGCAGTGTGCCATGCTTATTTTCTGTAGAAATATGCGGGAGATTTCGGAAACAGTGGGGTAAAATGATGACACTCAGCTCGGAGTTGCGGTGGGAAGAAGATGGAAACCCTATGTTGTTGTTTGCGGTCTCGGTATCCTGAGTCCGGTCCACCGGACGATCGGAGATCCATGGCTGGACCCTACATGCGCAAGACAAAGCTTAAGGTGGATGTATCCAGACAATATAGTACAAGTGTGTCGAGCTGTGAGATATGGGTCTACCAATTGACCAGCATCTCTTTTGCGGCGGGGGCTGTCTCTCTCTCGTACTCGATCTCTACGCGCGCACCCTCTGCAAGCAAGTCAGTATACGTCCGCGAAAGGCGGGATGTGGACGCACTCTTTCTAGGTTTCTTGGGTTTATCTGGGCCCTTTTGGGCTGAGGAAGCCTTCCGCTTGCCAAGGATAGAATCAACGGTTGGTTTCCGAGGTGCTTCAACCTCGGAGTCCTCTTCTTCGTCGTCTGAAACAAACTCTCCATCCTAACGCGTAATCAGCACACACGTGGTTGGTAGAGCCATATCAAGACCCCAACTTCGTCCAAATCTTCCAAATCACTAATTCCATCAAACTCGTCGCCACTGACGTCCTCCACAAACTCATGCTCGCCCCAATCATCAAGTTCCTCCTCTTCCATCTCCGCCTCGAGCTCTTCCTCATCTTCTTCCTCCGTCTCGTCGTCTTCCAGCTCCAGCCCTCCGTCCAGTTCTTTCTCAGCCTCTTTCTCCCGTGCCCGCTTACCCTCCAACACCTGCTTCCAGACGTTTTCATTCACGTTCAGGGGTGCATCACCATATGCCTTCGATTTAAGTCGCTCCAGCAGCTCCTTCTCGATTGAGCGCTCGATGTGTGCAGCAGCCAGCGCCTTGGCTTCCCGCCGCGCTTCTCGACGATCAAGTTTCTTCTTAATACCAACAAGCTTGGGTTGCGCAAAGAGCTTCAATTTGCGCATTTTGATAAGATATTGGGTGATTTTGGTCACACGCTGCTTGCACTTGTGTGTGATGAAATTGGGCCAGTAGATCAGTTCCTTATCGATCTGAACGCTTTTTAGTGAAAGCACAGCTAGGTATACACAGTATATAAATACCTGCTCTAGAGCCTGGGCATAGTTCTTGGAGAGTTTTATTCGCTCCCACATCTTGTTCGGTAGATGCGCACGTTCGATCGTCTTGACATAAAGGTACAATATCCCTAACACATCGTCAACACGCATCCTCAGCACGGGAAATAAAACTCACCGTCTTTCTCTCTCACAGTCGCATACCGAGAATTAGCTAAAGGGCAAGACTGTCTAGAACAAAAGCCGGTGACGTTGTACTCATTTCTACAGAAATTCTGCGTCGCCGTCCTACACCTGGTCAACTCCTTTGCCCTTCTTCCTGGAATGGGTGCACTCACTTGACCTTATAAGAGCAGAACTGGGTATTTATCACACTCCATATTACGTCGTCGGCCTGCATGGTGGTATCCGAGCGTCAAGCAGTGAGTAGGAAAAAGCAATGGCAGACTTCAACGGATCCCTGGAGCAAAAAAGGGGTCTTTCGCCTCGAGCGCGTGAAAAAAAACGAAAGCGCCGACACAGCCACACGGGGTTGTGTTACTCCTGGTGGAGATGTGCTGCGTGTCGGCCTCTCAGCTCTCGAATGTATAATATGTCATGCCTATTACGAGCAGGTCCTTCGAACGTACTCACTGCAGTACGGGGTATGTGTTTCCGTTAACCCACGTCTCCAAAGCTCACGCTCGCCTTCCTAGGCCGCCTGCCACACCCCCGGCAGGTACACCTCACCCCCTCGCCTCATAATGCCAACTTCGACACGCACCGGTTTGTCGAGCGGCTCGAGAAGGAGGGACTGACCCGAATCCAAGCCGAAGGCGTGATGGGTGCTATGGCCGACGTGGTGGATGAGAGCATTAGGAATATGATGGAGAACATGGTCACGAAGCCTGAGCAGGAGAAGGTGCTGCTTTCCGTTCTTCTCCCATGAAAGGGGCTCGCTAACCAGACGCAGTACTTGTATACGCAGAAAGTGGATTTCGCACAGCTGAAGTCTGAGATGCAGCTGATGGAGAAGAACGACCTGGCCATTATGAAGGCGGACAACGATAGGCTCACGGGCGAGGTCGAGCGGCTTAAGCAGAGGCTGAGGGAGGAGATCGCCCGCACGCAGGCTGGTGTGAGGCTGGACCTGAATTTGGAAAAGGGGAGACTAAGGGATGAGATGAGTGCACAGGAACAGAAGGTTCGGGAGGTGGATACGAGGATTGAGAGTGAGATCGCTGGCTTGAGGACGGCAATCGAGACGTCCAAGGTGGGTAATGCGTTATGATATTGGATGTGTGTATGCTAACAGATGGCAGCAAAATACATTGCAGTATCTTGTAACTGTTGCGACAGGCTGCTGTGCTTTGCTGATGGCGTATCTCCGGTTCAGGAGTGAGTGCTTCCCTCTGGACAAAGTTTTGCTGCTCAACGCTCTCAGTGTAACGATTCAGAATGAGGTGTGGTCAATTCATTTCTGCAGTGACATAGATTCAACGGGTATGACACAATCTGGCCATGTCAGGACTAGTAGCAAGAGTCTACAGTATTACGCATTAGTATATCCATACAAAGAGAGTGAGCCGCGAGTGTCCAAATGGCGGTCAAACGGAAAACAGGACGAGCCAATCCACACCGCCATCCAGCATAACGAACGAACGAACCGCATGCACCCCACCTTCCTCCCACAACCCAAGCCAGAGAGAAGCATACAGGATGCGCTCAGACTTCCTTGAGCTTTTTCTGCTCCTGCGCTGCCTTCCCCTTGTTCTTGCTTGCCTCAAAGTCTTTTCTTGTCAGCCGGGTGCCGAGGATGTAGTCCCAGTGGGTGAAAAACGGCTGTGAGAAATTGCGCTTGATGCCTGCCTGCTGGTGGTGGATATCATGGTAGTCCGCGTTGTTCCCGAACAGTAGCTGGAACGGGTCCCACGGGATAGCGTATCCACAGTGATCGTCCACTGTCTTGAACGTGGCGAGCATGAAGAGCACCGTCGCTTGGCGGACATTCATCCCCGAGACGGCCTCGGCGATGACCGTTCCGACGCTGTCGAGCACGAAACCCTCAAGCGGGTGGTTGTATAACGCGCCAAAGGCGTAAGGAACGTACAATCGGTGGTGGTGTGAGTGGAATTGCCGATATAGGAACTTGTTCATGTGGAACGCGCGATGCCAGAAATATTGCCATGTGTCGACGAGGAAGCTATGGGCTGGTCAGCAGCAGGTCCCAAAGTGTGTGGAATGACGCACGTTGCAAATAGGAGCTGTATGGTGGGGATTGCCCACCAGTACACGAACTCGACGATGCTCGTGCCGTACTGCTGCAGGAGCGTACGGGCGATGCGCGGTCCCAGAATCAGGTTTGAGAGACTGACGACCCACGGTGCGAGTTGGCGCATAGCAGCAGCATGGTTTGTGCTCTCTTTCACCTCCTCCATCCACCACAGTCCGAGCAGAGTTTGTATCGCGTGTTGGAAGACGACAGCACGAAGGACCTGCCACTTTGTGACAAGGTTGCGTGACTTCATCTCTTCGCTGTCGTGGATCCTATACTTGTCGAGCCACGGGAAGTATTCTGGATAGGTGTCGAAGATGTGAAAGATGAGGGAGTAGCCCCAGTATGTAAGTACTGGAGCTGCGAGGGAGAGATGGGCGTCTGATACGCCTGGGATGACTGAGGGGCGCGGGGCATAGTAGATGGGGAAAGTGACAGGTTCGGGTACAAGGTCGTAGGGTGGAAAGGGGTAGTATATGCTGCTGTTTGACATCGATGGATGGCTGGGAGTAAAGAAACAAAAGTAAAGAGTAACGAAGGTTGAGTGTTGAATGCTAGTTTCGGCAGGTGGTTGTAGAGAGTCAAGAAGAGAGTGACTCTGCACCAGTGCGGGCTGGCACAGGAGACGCCCCCTTCTGCCGCGAATTTGGGTAATAAAAGGGTTTGCACTTCTTCGGAGGTTTTCGCACAGTGATTACACAGTCCCGGATGCAGAAATTACCTTACACGGATTATCCCGCAGTTTTATCTTTTTTGACTTATAATCCAACAATAATTTATATACAGCATCAGCATAGGGGCACGGACGCCGAGGCGGAGCGGTGCCCATTTAAAGGCATAAAATGCGGAGTAAGCCCTATCGCTTGACCACGACCCAGCCTCACGGCCGCCGAGTTTGGGTGGTCTCCTGCTCACAAGCGCTCATCAGTTCAACAGGCGCCGTCTTGAGCACAGCGTGCCTCGACATGATGCTCATCAACACGATGTGTGAGCATGCCTGCAATACGGCGGCGACGGATCTCTTTGTCCTCTATAAAGCTGCTCTTTCATACCCACTGGAGCCTGTATCGATGTCAGTACTTCAACATCGATGTCCTCGCAGCCGTTCGTCCTCCCAGTCTTTCCAGTATGTGCTGTCTACCCAGTGCATTATTTCCTGCAAGGCTCCTCAGATCCGGGTTGGCGAGAATATCTGACTGGGCGTACCTGAGTCCCGGCCCTTACTACCAGCGGAGTGCCGTTATAATCCCACTGGGATCGGTGGCAAGCTGAGGACGTCATCGATTTATCCACCATCATCTTTCTCTGATTCCACTGATGTATCAAGATTGTCTGAGCAGCTTGACGTCTATCCTCTTCCTGTCTACCATCCCCCGTTATACTCATACTTGACGTCGCCAGTTGTACCCAGTACATCCTATCTCGAACCCGTCTCGGAGTCACTTTGCGTGTTCACTTCAGCTGTCTATAACTCGCCAGTACCGCGACCTAGAGTGGAAGTTGCCAACACACACTCGACGTCGCCGGCTTCACCTGTCAATAGGCCTTTCTATCGGTCACCCAATCTGGAAGTCTCAATCGTGTCACGTCTTGCTACCCGCCGTGGGTCTATGCCGCACCTCAACGTGTACTCTCCGATCATGCTCTCGGCTCGACCCATTGGCCCCTTGCAGCTATATAACAACCTGCGCGACTCCCGGTATACGATTCTCATTCTCAACATCCGGGACGACGAATCAATTCGCAATATCAGAATCCGAATTCCGTCCCCCAGCCGGGGTGCGAGGGAGCACCTCGGGCCTCAGATATTCAATCGTCATTGGCTTGCTTCGGCATGTGTCGAGTCCGCCTTGGCTTAGAAGCCGTCGGACGAGACTGCGGCCTCGCCGAAGTATTCGATGTCGATGATAGTGATGGTCAATGAGTCATTGACAAATGTGGGGCAGAGCAAGTACATGCAGAAAACTGCGAGCCTGATCGCGGAAAATGAGGGGTGCAAACCAAGGGGGTTTAGCAGATCCGTGCGTATCTTGGAAGGGGGGATGAGGGCGTGGAAGGCCTTGCTGAGAGAGGACGGACTGGAAAGGGGCCCGTATGTTATCCGGGCGAGATGGCAGATGGATGCTGAGCTGCGTGTGGGAAGCGCGGCAGACGAAAGGGAGACGAGAGAGTGGAACCCGTTGGGTCAGCTATCCAGCGGCACTGGGTACGTATATGCTAGATCATCTGATGGGATCACAGATTATCATGCTCATCTGATGTGCTAGGACACCTTCACGCCATCCAGAGGACCTCCGTTTGTCCAACCTGCCCCGCGAAGTGGCGAGAATGCATTATACCCCTGTGATGGCGTCTCCTCTCACGTCCTCTGCAATTTCTGTCAACATGAACAATGTTCTGTTGAACAAAGGGGTAGAAAAAGGGACAGAATCTGCATTGAGTGTACATGTTGAGGTTCATAACGTGATCACTTAGGCCTCTTGGTCCCTTACCAAGCTGCGGTCAATCTTTGAAGGCGCCCTAGTGGATCCTGTAGTAGGAGATGCACTTGCTTCCTTTTGAGATGATCAATTATCAGGCATACGACTTGCACGTTTTCCCCCTCGTAATAGTTGTGTCGAATTGAGTCAACTTGCTGCGGAAAGAGGGTCGAAAGTGACCAGCAAACAGCGCATGGGTCGGGGTAGCTGACGGAAGCATTCCAGAAGAATCCAACGACATGAGCGCACCATTCACAGCAGTCTAGCAGCGCCGCAACCATACCATCGTCTCCTTCTCCCCTCTCAGATATCTATCAGATATACCTCATACTTCCTAACTTGCATATACTTTTGTGGGCACACGACAACCTGCTGCTTTCATGTTCTAACTTTCCCTGCCATTGGCGACTGCGCGCGCACAGCTTCGGTCGATCCACTGGCATCTATCGTCTGCGCCGAACGTACACCATGACCAGCATGACGACCACAATGACACACTCGAGCGGGGGGACGTATCTGTCTTCATTGAGGGAGAAGGCGAGAGATGAGATTGCAAGGGAGAATTATAGCCAGTACCCCGCCATGACACTCCTCAATTCAGTGAAGAAGATGGCACTCGTAGGAAACGAGGAGGAAGCAGAGGGCAGCTTGTCTGAAGCTTATGTGACCTACATGAAGTGTTCCCAGTACGTACATTCCTCACTTTTCACGAAATTCTGACTCAATCATGTGTAATACCAGGATCCTCAGCCTCGTCATCAACCACCGTGACTACAAGAAGGCGCAGAAAACAGACCCGGTGCACGATCCGTTATTAGTGGCCCTAAGGGCATATGATAGTGTACGTTCCTTTCTGTCATTAACTGAAGTGACGTTGACGCTGGGACAGCAATTTCGTGAAACGGTAGCAGACCGAACCCAAAAGCTCTCTGAGCGGCTAAAGCAGATTGACCAACAAAAGGCCGACAGAGTAGATCGTCGAGATACACCGTATGTAATACCCTCTCTTTTCTGCACGATAGTTGACACGGGATGCGACAGGATCATGCCCGGTACACCATTGCCGTTCACCTTGCCTGTATCACCACCGTCTTCAAGCTCGGCACCTTCTTTCCCATCTACACCTGATCAGCGGCCCCGTTCAATAGCAGACCGCCTATCACTCTTACGCCAGCACGGTGTAGATACCTCAGTCACTGAAGGGTCGCATCTCGGAGGCCCGCCACTGACAAACGGAAAACGCATCTCGCGGGATTACGGCAGAACGTTGACCTCCCCCATTTCCCCACCTCCATCGTTACCTGATCACACTGGATCGTCCGGTCATTCTCGCTTATCCGACATTCCCAGCCTCCTCCCCTCTGCACCTATATTGTCTTCCGCGCCCAGCTCTCGACCTAGCAGCACACATGCAACGCCGCCCATCCGGACCGACACCGGGTTTGATGAGACCTTCCCAACGCTGTCTGAAATAGAAGCTCAGTTCCCCACGTTGCCGTCAACGCGGTCCAATGTACCTGGGTTACCCTCAGTTCCATCCCCCCGTCCCTCGGAAAGCATCTCCAAACCGCCATTACGGCCCGAGTCATCCAGGGGCCGAACAGCGCCTCCGCCCATACCTCCCAAACCGCTCTCACCGCACTTCTCCGGCTCGAATGGGCCGACGCATGGCCGTTCCCCATCTGCTTCGTCCATACGCTCTCGCCCCACCGGTGGCATCCCCACGTCTATCAACCCCAAGGAACTGCTCAACTACCTGCGGGATGATCGGTATCCGATCCTCATTCTCGATATTCGAGATCAGGGTGAATATCTTGACTGTCACATTGCGATTCCTCCATCGAGCCGATCTGCGAAGGTGCAGCTTGAACCCAGCCTTATTGAGCGTCCATCGCTCACCTCATTTTCCATCGAGTCCGCGCTCTCCATCAATCCCCCAGAAGAAGCGGCAGCTTTCCAAGAACGAGCCAAATACTCTATGGTTGTGATGGTCGATGAGTCCTCCATGAACCTGGCACAGAGCAGGCTGATGCAAAAAATTGTGAGCGTCATATGGGAAAACGAGTTTGCAGACCAGAAGAAACTCGATAGACCGCCTATTGTGCTTGTTGGGGGGATGAGGGCATGGAGAGCCCAGCTGAAAGATGAGGGACTGGAAGGGCGACAGGTCGCCCGTGCGGTGACCAATGGCAGACTACCTGCTATTGAGGAGAGGAGAGCGGAGCCACATAGAGAGAGAGTGGAAGCTTTGAGGGAAGAGAGAGGGAGGAGTTCGTTGGATCAGCTATCTAATCGGATTTGGTATGTGTCTGCTCGCTCACCTAAAGGGCATTCTGTGCTCATTCCCGTGGTAGGACACCACCACAGCCAACATCACCTTCTGAAGGAAATGGACCTCTCGCGAGGAAACCTGCGCTTTCGCGCAGTCCGGGCAACGTTCGTCTGTCGAACATGTACCGCGAGGCGGAGCCGCCGACGTATGATACCACTGCGATTGCGTCTCCCATCACATCCCCCATTGGCTATACACCGTCATACCAGTCTTTCTACAATAACCCCTCTGGCGCTGCCTCAATCGCTGGCTTGTATCGCTCCACAGCGACAGTCCCCGAAGGCACGCAGCTTCCTTCTCCCCCTGCTGCGTCAGCCCCTCCCCCCCTTTCAATGTCAAGGCGAAGATCGGATTATGCTGAGCTGTCCCAGTTCTCTTACTCCGGCGCTCCAGGTGCGATCACAACCGCTCGGCCAATTATCGACTACCCGCAACTTAACGTCCATTCGGCGCCTATCATCCAGCCTCCGCCAGCAGCTGCGTCGTCTTCCATGGAACGGCAGGACTTTCGACCACTACCACAACCGCGACCAGGTGCGCAGTACATCCAAGACTACCAAGCGTCGAATGTGTTGTCGCCTCAGCCGGTGCAGCCGTCGAAACCGATCGCGAACGGATACCTTGGCACAGCTCTCATTCCCGTTCCCCGTATTCAATCGGACTGGCCAGTCCAATACTGGCAGGGTCAAGCGATCAGCACCTCTGGGCTCAAGAATCTGGGCAACACATGTTATATGAACGCACCGCTGCAGTGTCTGAGTGCCACAGTGCCTTTTGCGCGGTTCTTCTTAGAGAACCGGTGGCAGAGGGCGGTCAATACCGTCAATCCATTGGGAACTCGTGGACAGTTGGCGGGCGCGTTTGCCAAAATGGTTCAGGAGATGTGGCAGGCAAATTTTACCTATCTGGACCCGACTAATTTCAGGGTATGTACATGTTTCGTTCGTGCTAGTGATCGACTAAGGGTCAATGTTTTTGCAGAGGAGTGTTTGCCACTATGCACCGTCATTCGCAGGCGGAGACCAGCACGATGCGCAAGAGTTCATCAGCTTCCTGCTGGATGGTCTTCATGAAGATCTCAATCGAATTCTGCAGAAGCCGGCAAACGATGACCCTACACCCGAGCATGAGGCGGAACTTGAGAGATTGCCACAACAGATCGCTGGGGAACAAGAATGGCAGCGATACCAGAGGCGAGATGACAGTCTTGTCGTGGACTACTTTCAGGGCCAATTCCGGAATAAATTGGAGTGTATGACGTGCCACAAGGTCTGTCCTTCTCTGTGTTCCGCATGTTTGCAACCGCTCAACACATGAGCGCAGACATCCACGACGTATAACGCATTCATGTATCTCTCTTTGCCAATTCCCACTGGACGGGGTATGAGCAAAGTCACGCTGCAGCAGTGCATGGATGCCTTCGTCAAGGAAGAGATCATGGAGAAAGGAGATGCTTGGAAGTGCCCCCATTGCATGGCGCTGCGCAAGGCCACGAAACAATTGTCCATCTCCCGTCTGCCGCCGGTTCTTCTGATTCATCTCAAGCGCTTCTCGTACAAAGGGCCCTTCGTAGACAAGCTGGAGACCTTGGTCGACTTTCCGCTCAAAGATCTGGATTTGACAAATTATATGCCTTCGCCGTTGCCTCCTGGAGTTGACAAGGGCTTCTCACAGTCGAGTCCAATCAAGTTGGATGACCCGCGCTCGCAAATTCCGCCCTACAGATACGAGCTGTACGCTGTGACGAATCATTTCGGAAGTCTCACCAGTGGACATTGTGCGCCTGATTCACGTTCCATATTAGATCCTGTTTCTGATTCTTCCCGAACAGATACCGCATTCATTGCATCGAAAGGATCTTGGGTATATTGTGATGACAGTCGTCTGTCAAATGCCGAAGGACGAGAAATAGTCGCCAAACCGGCTTATATCCTATTTTATAAGCGTGTGCCTAGATGACCTTATTTAGCCAATATTGTATTGAACCGAGTGTTCCGCCGCAATGTAAAATAGTATTCCGTACAATGTAGTGTAATACAAGAAATGCAGATCGCACAACAATGCGTGAAATTGAGATGAGATGGAAATGAAGTCTCGGTCACCACACTTCATCGTCGTAGTCCGACGACGATTCTTCCCAATCATCACCCATTTCTGACCTCTCGGGAGCTTTGATCTTCTTGGAGTAACAGGAATGACACAACAGGTTCTCCTCGGTTTCCACCTCATCGACATCCATGTCCTCATCAGTCTTGATTTCCGGTAGATCAGGATAGTAGAAGGGCGAGTTGGTAGAACCGCAGCGACGACATTTGCTAATCTTAGGAGTGATCCACGGACTACCCATGTCCCCCTTGTGCCCCATCAGGGCATCAAGTCGTTGTGCCTTCCTGAGCAAAGCAAAAGTATCGAGAGGTATTTGCTTGTAGGTCTTGCAGAACACTTGCAGCGCGGTCTGTTCTGGGGTCAATTACGGCTCGAAAGGTGAGATTATCAAAACCATACCAGGCCAGTTTTAGGGTCAACCTCACCCAACGAGTAAATCGTGCGACCCGACATATCATGTGCACCACACCACACGAGAGCATTCATGGCACCGGTTTCCTTCTTGAAACTAACAACTGGGTGCTGATCTCGTCGGCTTACTTTGATCTACATACCTTCATTTTAGTGATAGGAAATTCAATTGCAATATAAGACGTACCGGCTGAATCTCGAAGCCGAAAGTGCATCCGGCTAACCATGCACAAGAAAGATGGAACTCGTTGCTGCAGTCGGCACACTTGACACATGCCCCATGTCCAGAAATATTGCATACAGCGCAGGTCTGAATCGCCTGTTAGTATTGCACCAGCTGAACTGGGAGCTACGTACTGCTCTCCACCGGCTCTGCGGGACCATGGACACACCCTCAACGAGCTTCATGTGTTTCGCATCCGTGAAGTACACTTCAGGCGTGAAGATCGAGCACATAATATGCACCCATCCTCTGCCTTCTGTTGGTTTCATAGCGCGGCAGTATGTAGGCTCGGGTGTCGATTCCAGGGTCTGTCGGCGCTTCGCATCTGGAATAGGACAAAGCAGACAGTGATACGTGATGCGAGATTCAGGTGATTTCTCGTTCGCGCAAATATCGCAAGTCCAGGGTTCAACGAACTCTTCTGGTGGGAAACCACCGCAAGCTAAACCATAATTAGTCTCAACCCAGGAGGGGGATCTAAATAGAACGTACCTGGATGAACGGTAAGGAGGCAGTATTGACACCGTGCAATAGTATCCGCCGGTCCCGTGGTCTTGCAACAGACACAGAATCTTGGTATGGCGGGCTTGGTGACCGCTTTAGATGGCGGAGTGCCATTCTTTCCAGGCGCGGGGCTGGCAGGTTTGCTTGCCGCAGCCTGGCATCATAATGTGAGAATGATGGCCGTTCGTTGCAAGTCACTGCCTACCTTTACTCTTCGACCCGCTTGTCGTTCACCCTCATTTCTGTCAGACGCCGCCCTGCTCTGTCCTTCCTCAATGGCACGCTGGACTCGCGGATCATTGTACTTGCGCCAGCTTGCAGAGCAGCTGTTACACAACAAATGGTCGCCAGGGAGCACACTTGGCCCTTTCCACCACTTCTCGGATGTCCGGCTTTTGCATACCGAACAAACAGGCTTGATCCCTCGGGGTATGTCAGCGTCTGAACCGGCGTCGCTGTCGTAGTCGGCGGGTGCGTCAGCAGCTGCAGAGGTGAGGATCGCAGGTTGACCGAGGAAGCTCTTATGGGCTTCCTTGTGTGCCCCAGACTGAGCTTCTTTGAGTTTGTCGCCCATCAACTCGCTGCACAAATATGTCAGCTAGAATGTCGTGTGAGATATGCGAGACGCACTTCTTCCAGAGAGTGTAATAACGGACGATCTCTGCACGTGTCTTTGTGGTGACGTATTCCTGCGCTATCTTGAGGTCGCCGGGTTGACCATGCTGGTCGATACCATCCTGCAGGGCCTTCTCGAACAACAAACGCTCTTCTGCTGTCCATGGCGTATCATATAATCGAACATCATCGTCTTTCCACTAAGTTGAAACAGTCACGTCAGCGTCGTTGAATGATGGCATGCGGAGGAAAACGCACTGGATATGCCATGGTGGTGTCACGATGAAATATATGCTCGAACGCCAGTGCCTTCCAGGGACTTGCGAAGGTGATAGTCCTGAGAACTTCGTCGAGTACAGCAACCGAATAGGGATGAGCGGGGAGAGGCTTCTCGCTGTTCAGAACTGAAGTCATGATGAGGTCCACTAAGACCGAAGATCAGTGACGGAAGGAGCTCTTAAGTGGGAGAAACCGACGCTGTCCTGATTCAATATCGCCAGCTGTGACGCAAGCCATTGCCTGTACGGTTTTGAAGGCTCCTCGTTCCTCGAGATCGGTATCTAGAAGTAACATTAGATGGTCAAATAGCACTGCCACAAACCGAACACCCTGTACCATTGTACTGGAATTGGCCAACATGAGGTATTGAGGTTGCCTGATATTTCGGTCCCATACGTGGACGAGCGATAGCATATATCATATCATCGGGATCGAGAACATCCTCAGCCGTCGTGTAACTCCTATATTTAGAGGTTGTGTGAGGATTTTTACGAGACCACGGATTATCCGAGATATCCGTACCCGAAATAGCGATACGGCCATTTTTTCCAATACTTGGTAGATGCCGCACCGCCGCCATTGAACGAGGATGATTGCTTTGCCTTTGCTCGCTCATCTTGTTTCGCTTTCTGAGTCTTAGCAATGGCCTTTCCAGGCTTGCCCTTGGCGACACGGTTTGCATTTTGGGCACCGAGCTGTGCGACCTCCTCTCGGTGATCCTTACTGCATGGGCCACAGAACCACGCCCATCCTTTCTTGTTCGGCTTGTTCTCGACGGGTGGATCGGGACAACCTGTGTGGAAATACTTGCTACAGCGGTCGCAACGTACCGAGTCGTCACTGATTAACATTAGGAAATATTAACACAATACATAAAGGAAGGTCTTACGGCGGTGTCCATTTTTCGCAGACAGAGCATATTCGCAGCTCATCAGTCAAATTGGGTATGAAATCCTTTTCTGTTAGTATAAGGTCGTAGCGATACGTGAGGATACTCTTGATATTATCGGGGACTGATGTACCGCAATTCAGTGGTTTGAGGAGGTGCAACATTGAATTGAAAAGCACGCTTACTGTTGGTGACTTCGGAAGAAAGAATGATTTCGTAGTCTTGCTTAACGTACGGGTCATAGAATCGTGCATAGTAGAAACAGTCTTCTGTCTTGCGCCATTCGTTGAAGTTATTAATCTTATCCTTATGCGAGACATGACATTTGCCCCTCAGATAATTAAGAGGAACCTTATCCGTGCACATAGTGGCTTGTAACGCGCGCGAGTCAGCGACATTCCTAGTCCAGGGCCTAAGGAAATGAGATGAGGTAAGAAGATACGAAGCGAGAAAACGCACTCGTTGGCACGATAATATATGTTGAGGCGAGCACGAGTGATCTTGGAACCCTTCGGAGAACCTTCGTCAGGGAGCCATTCCATGATGCGAGCGATCGTGTACGGTTGAATACGATCCCGCCATGGTGGAGCATAGTATACATGGTCTGAAGAACACGACGTGTGATTTGTGAGATGAAAACGGTCATGTGAGACGTTGAGAAATACCATTGATTCTGAGCTTGTCACCGTTGACAGCCCGAATTTCCCCTTCCGGATTCTTTTCTTTGTTTGCCATCCTGGAGGGAGGGATGGGAGAGAAAAACTGGGAAAAGAGGAAGTGGCTGGACGGAGGAGAGGGAGGGAGATGGTGGTTGAAGAAAGAGAGGGGAGTTGCACGAGTGAGCGGAGTCTAAAAGTGACTACCGAGGGTTGAGACGCGCAGATGAATGAGAAAAGGGGAGGGAAAGGGAGATGTTCGAGTTGAGACCCACGGGGTAAAGCCGGAGGAGCGCGGAAGTGAAGGGGGGAAAGACAGACGGAAACGCTTTAGGAGATTTCCCAACTGGAGGGACTACCCAACATACGGCCGAGCCCCCGGTTGTTCCAGACGCGGATGCCGTGTCCCCTGAGCGTTATTTTCGCCCAGCGAAATGTGGTCTGATTCAACAGCCACACACATATCAGGCAATCATGTTCCGTCAGCAACATCGGCTTGCCTTGGCATGTATTACAGCGTATATTGTTGTTAGCCGTATGATGACAATTGTCCTATGAAGAACAATTACAATCGGACCGATAGCAACCGAAGACTCTCGGTTCGCCCACGTAGCTACAGAAACAGCCAGAAGCTCGGAAGGTCGGATTCCTCCGGGGCAACTGGGTCGGGGTCTCGCGTCCAATCGAACAACTTTACGGCTGGCACCCCTATTCATCACCAAATGTTTACATGTGATCAATCATTTACAATTAATCTCACCCAGCTGCAATAACTACAGATAACTACGAACAGCAACACTGAGAATTAAATTTCCTCGTCTTCGTCTATCAATGTGATTGGGGGAAAGTCACCAACAGTCACCCTTTCAGGCCGAACAAAGGCACCGTGGTTTGTTGGACATGTGAAATATCGATGGCCCTGCACACTGCCAATACATCCATTTGAGAAAGAATCTTCAAAGAAAATGAAGAAATCGCGCACCTCCCGTCATTCTTCCCCATCGGCTCGTCGTATTCCACGCCAACCCACAAGCCAGTACCCTTGCCAAAAGCTGTCGATCCGAAGAAGCGTACAGTTCCTCGCTTCTGCAAGCCCTCTTCTTCGCTTTCTACCTCGCATCGGGCACCCACCTTGATGTCTGGATAGGATGCAGTGGAGGCAGCTGGTGCGGAGGCTTGCTGATGCTCGTCGGCGAATCGTCCAAACTTGTTGGCTTGTTTGAATTTGAGCAACGATTCTAGCCACTCATATCAGAACTGTAGTTCATCGCAAGGCGAGCCACTTGGATCGAGAAAACTGCGCATACACGTACCATCTCGCTTCGCATATTGCTCATCCGAAAGTTCGAACTTCTCAACCTAATCATCAGTTAGCTTGATCGTTTCCTCAGTATACGATCTCACATACCTGAGAAACATCGCTGTACATGCCTGCCGGACCCATGGGGTTCAAGTCTACGACCTACCCCTCAGTTCGCTCGAACTCCGTGCTGCGTAACTCCGACCAGCGCACCTGGATCGTCTGGAAGTCGGCGGGAGAATAGAACCCCAGAGGACGTGAGTCGTCGTCCAGTACGCGGATCTGTTGTCCATCTTCAGTGCGGGAGAGGACGAGCTTTTGCGAGGTGGGCGTGATGCCGGTGATATGCTCAAGCCTAGTCTAGCCGAACGTAAGCGCAGGCCGCTCGGGGGAAGGAATAAATGCACCTTAAGCTGCCCGATGGTTGTGTGCAAGTCGAATTTCCGCTCCGAATGCGTATCAGGAGAAGAGACAAACACAGAAACACTGGTGGCAGACATCGCGTAACACGTATGTGGTTGTAGATGTTGAATGCCGATCGACTCACGCGTGTGTGCCTAGGAGTTGTTGGAACGCGGTTTGGCTCCGTTTTTACCACAATATCATCATCATCAAGCCACATGGTTGTAATGCGGAGCAGAATGAACTTCCAGTAACAACCCAACCAGTATCCCTTCCGCTTTTTTCTATTTAATTATAGGTATTGAGTAGCATGTCAGTAATGCGGGTATCATTCTCATATCATCTCAGGTACACCATCACCATCACGTCAACTCATGATCCCACGCCCATCTCAAGCAGCTTGTCGATGCTCAGCCCCAAATCTCCGTTAGTCGCCTCGAGCACCACGTCTGCAAGTTCACCATCCAGACCTGGGAAGATCTGCAATAGTGTGTCTCTGCCTGATGCCTGCGCCGCGTCATGCGCTCTGTCGATCTCAGCACTCAATGCCGCGAAGTCGAACGCCTCGTCTCCGTCATGATCGGGCGTAGCAGTTCGAGGTGTGCTGACAGGGGGTATCCCGAGCGGCGAAGGAAACGGCTGGAGGGTGCCACCTACGCGTGTGGGGGTACCTATGGGCGTAGACGCACCAGAATTCGGCCGTGACGGTGATTGTCGTACACGAGGTTTGTACGGTGCAGGGAGAGGCGCGCTCTGATCTTTTGGTGGGGGAGCAGGCGTAACAGGATTAGGTTGCACCCAGTTGGATGCAGCATCCAGTGCACGTCCTACTACTCCGGGTGGCTCTTCCAGAGCCTCGGAGAATATCCTCCCAATCGCATTTAGCGGTTTGCTGATTGTCTGCTGTGCAAAATCGCCGGTCCGTTGGAAGAACTTCTTCGTGTCTTCTGCTAGTGTTGTGGGCAGAAGCAGTGGTCTGGCTGACTCTTCACCTGCAGCGGCAGAGGCAGTGACTTCAGCTGTCGTCACTTCCGGCGCTGGTGGCCTGGCTCTTTGAGGTGTCATTGGACCCGGCGATGATGAGGGCGATAATCGGGTAACGGCTTCCTCGACATTCCTGATGACACTGTTAGAGCGGGAGGAGATCGCTCAGAGTTTCAAGTCTTACGCCTCAAATTCCTCTTGTGAGATATTGGAGAGTGACGTATGATCCATCGTCTCAATAAACGAGACCGCACCCATCAAGCTCGATAGATAATATCCAGCTTCGCTCTGCAGTTTGGTTGCTGACCGGAACCGACTTATGTATCTGGACAACATGTCAGAACACAATGCATTGGCAGGATTCCCCTTTACGTACTCGACGTTCGAGAGCAGATGATCTGGGTTCGCTTGAAGTACCACATAGATCAGTATGGGTATGAAGGCATCGGCACCCTCTTCCCGGTTCAAATGTCGGATAAGACCTGCAGACAACGTTAGACGGCTCGCCGATGCGTAAGTGGGCTGACTCACCAAAGATGACTTTGCAACAATTGAGGATACAGATCAGCTTGTCACGCGGCGCCTTGTAGTGGTTGATCTTGAGCAGTTCTACCGAACAATGAGACACGGCGATGATAGTTAGACCGTGTCACGCACCCTGCTCAGCGAACATTATGAATCCCTTGCTGCCCTCTCCTGTAGGTATATCCAGATGCTCCTCCGTGACCCACTCGAACAGCCTTATACGCTGTGAAAGTACATGATCTCGTTCCAGGTCGTCAGTCGTGATAGGATATATGTTACGATCGATTGCAGGGGTAAATGCTCTGGTGTCATGTTAGCCTACAGTTCCTCAACAACTGTGATAGAGCGCACAGATGGTATAGGCGATTCATGACAAGCTTCTCCATCGCCTCGGTGGCATTGTCAAACTGTTCCACCGGAAGGTTCTTCCAGACCTCGCACTCACTCATTCGCGCTGCAATGAACTAAGAATAAATCAGGAAATGTTCGGGATACGGAGCGACCGCCACTTACTGCAAGAAAGTCGTGTATGAGCTTAACCTGATCGGTGACGGGGAACGTCCTCTTCTGGAAGTTGTGCAAGAAACTGGAGATAGATGAGCTCGAGCCGCATCAGAATCACGATCGAAACCCACCTTCGCAGGTACTTTGCAACGGGTTCAGCGCTCTTCGACTTCATTTGGTCCAAGAACTTTTGGAAGTCAAATGGCGGTGTTACTTTTGGTCCAGAGGTGTCCATGGCATTGCCATTTGTCTGTTGAGATGAAGAAGCCTCTGTCTCCCCGAGTTCATGTTGAGATGCTCGCCGTAACGGCTGAGCCAGAGAGGCGAGCGTTGTAGGGGATGGCACACCCGGAGGGGACGAAGGGGAATGCGGAAAGTCGGTAGAAACGCCTGATAATGGTGTCTGGGCTTGTGCCCTGCTCTGAGGTGGTTCGTCCAGAGTCGTATCGGGTTCTTGCGTAAACCGGATCTCTGGCCCAGATGCTGACGCCTCCACTCCAACTGGCAGATGGCCCTCTGCATGTCTCCATGCGTCTGCCGCCGTATCTGCCAGTGGATCGAATTCGTCCAACGTGGATTGCTCGAGTGGCTTGGGGTGCGACGGTTCCGGTTCGTCGGCGATCTCGAGCGGTGGCTCAGGGGCCCCGTCGACTGCCCGAGCCTCTGACGAGTCGGGTGCTTCTGCGGAGGACGACGACCATGGATTCTCCTCCTCGTTATCGGAAGCCTCGACAGGGTGCGTTTCTGTTGGTGTTGACGTGCCCTCTTCGGTCGACATTGTGGTATACAGAGGCAAGGGGTTGAGTGTGAACTTTCGTCCCGGAAAGTCGGAACGCCGTCGTGGTGCGGTGCCGCGGCCGCAGTAAATACGACGTCAGGGGAAGATTCCGCTTGGCAATGTTCGGGAGCATTCATTGGGCGGCTGTAATCTTCTCTTGATTGTATACAACTACTTCGAGTTGCACAACGTTGGATGTTCCCATTCTCACAGTGCTTTTAACTTGGACTCAGTTCTCACGGTCCGCGAATCTGGAATATCAACTGAGGACGAAACCGCACGCCCCATTGGACAGGCCCGAGTTCTGCATGACAACTGCTTGCACTATCTACGTGTACAAGGGTATTCACGCGATTGGAGAAAACATGGAAAGCCTTTACCAAAAGCCCATTTGGGGCTTGGCTTGATGTTTCTTAAAAAGGGAGCTAGAGACGCACCGTTCAAGCAGAAGCAAGCAAAGCCTCAGTCTTGAACAGCACCTCGGCAGTATCGACAATCGTCTTCTTGAATGGCGTCCACTTGATGTCAAAGTCAGCTTCGGCCTTGGACACGTCCAGTTTGTAGTGCTCTGGGGCGGGCTTGCCAGTCGAGGGCGTCATGCGGGCTGCCTGGTTGGGGAACGCTTCGCGCGCAACGACCACCGCTTCGTCGAAGGAATAGTGGCCTCCGACGACGAGGTAACGCTTGTCCCTAGCCTTGTCGTTGGTGAGGGAGGCGAGGTGCAGGTGCGCCCTGATGCAAAAGTCAGGAACTCGGAGTGGCACACTGCGGGGTGGGTACTCACAGATCACGAACATCGATGAACCCAGGGAAGTTGGTAAAGGGGACTTCCTTCTCCGTACCACTGAAGAGCCGCCAGAGCTGGTCCACCGACTCGTTCAAACTCTTCATCGACTTGATAGGCTGCTGAGGAGGCCCAAAGACCATAGGCGGGCAGAAAGTCGTCAAGGCGAAACCAGGCTTCTCCTGGTCCATGTACTCCCAAGCCGCGCGCTCAGCAAACCCCTTGCTCGCGCAGTACACGAAGGGAGGGATGTCGGATCTGACAGCCTCGTTCCACGTGGCCGGGTTCCAGTCTTGCTCCGAGTACGTCTTCTCCGGCCACATACCCTTGAGCAAGTCGCACACCGCCGCAAAGCTCGAAGTGATCACGACGCGCTTCACCTCCGGGTTCTTGGCCGCAGCGCGCAGGATCGAGAGCGTGTTCTCCCTCGCGGGAATAAGGACTTCCTTCTCGTTGTCGGTAAAGTCGAACCGGAAGGGCGAGGCGACGTGCATGACGTACGTCACCCCTTTGAGCGCGGCGGCCACAGCCTCCTGGTCAGAGAAATCAGGGATGAACACCCAGTCGATCTTGGACCCGTGCTCGGGGTACTTCTTGCCAAACGCGTCTGCGCTTTCCTGACGGCGCTGCGAACAGATGAGCTACATCCACTCGAGGGATAGACGAACGTACCACAGCTGCCTTGACGTGATATCCCTGCTTGAGGGCTTCGAGGATCACGGTCGTGCCAATGAATCCATTCGCGCCGTCAACGAAAACAACAGGCGTGTTCGTAGCAGACATGGTTGTAAGTGTGGTTATGCTTTATGTGTTCAGCGGAAGAGGTCGGTTTCGATTCGAGTTTTCTGAGGTTGATGAGATATCCAGCCACGCATCTCAGACAGGCTTAAATACGTTTCTTCGCCCTCCTCCTTATCAGTAACGTAGTCAGCCACTCCCAACATTCCCCCGTCCTAGAAGCACAACTTCATACTACCGCAGCCCGTCCATGACCACGAAAAGCATACAACCGACCGAGCTTGGCTCCGAATGATCGTCGCCTAAGGTCATCATCGCTTACCTAAGCTAACAATACGGAAGCAGGGTCCGGCGCCAAACCCAGCTGTGCTGTGCAGCATGGGTTGTTGTGGGTGCCATAATGGGCATATGAGGGCGGGGTATACGTCGGTGATTGGACTCGGATTTAGAGGTGCGGCGGGATGAGGTGCGGGTCGGAGAAGTAGGCGTGCTTAGGTCATTAGACCGCTTCTGCTGCCCTGCTGTTTCCCTCAGGCAGTGCCAACCTCCAGTAAGCAGCGTAGGAATGTCAAGCATGTCGGTCTCCCTACAGCGTTCACCCTTCCTCACCAGGCCGAGCCCAACTGCATAGTTTCCTGCCCCCAAGTCCCGATCAGACGCCCAGAGCGGACGGCTCTCCCGCTCCTGGCAGAAGTACGTACACCCTTAGCTCTAGGGACGCACACCGGGCGGGCTTGTCAGCTCGAGCGGAGAGAGGTGACGCACTTTTGAGAGCCGGGGCGTTGGACGACGGCTCGCAGGCAGTGGGGATTGATGGGGCGGGTCGTGGGGCCCAGGATGAGGCAAACGAGAACTGGAATGATACGCGAGTATACCTGCTAGATTGCGATACCTTCCGAGGAGAACAAGTTCGCTACTGAAACCGCATACACAGGGAATGGGCATGCCTACGCGTCCCCTCCCAAATGCGTGTCATGTATCTACCACTCGTCAGCGCGTCTCCCTAGTTCTGAGGGAACGACTCACGAGTGCAGCAAGCCTCTGCCATTCCCCGAGCGTTCTCAGGTACTCATCTTCCTCATCCACGTCTACATCCGCGTTCCACAGAACAAAACCCTCGAAACAGCCCTCGATCCTGAGGTCTTTCTTCTCCCTCTGATCTTCTGCCTGCCGCTCGCCCGCGTCGCCGTCGCCGTCGGTTTCGACAGGGATGGGTGAAGCAGCACGTTTCCTCGAACGACGCTTGACAGGGCTGGGGCGGCGGACCCGAGCAGCGGGTGCCGGTGCAGGAGCTGAAGAACGCAGGAGCACACCGGTGTAACCCTCTGGAAGGGGGACTTGGACGCCTTTTAGTGCTCTGCCTCTGAAGCTGGAGGTGAACCGGTTTTTGAGCGAGGGGTTTCCAGGGCTTTGGGTTTCTGTCTTGTCGGGCAGTGAGGTTGAGGGGGATACGGATGTGGGCGCAGATGTAGATGCAAATGTGGATGCAGAGGCAGAGGGTAAATCAGAGGCAGGACGGACAAGGAAGTAAGTTGATAGAGGACAAGGGCCGTTGTGCTCTATATGGAAAGGCATGAGGTGTAGCGTGGGGTTCGTAGGTTGTCCCCGAGGGGGGAGGAAGTGGATAGTCGACATCGTCCGCTGTGCGTTTGGTTGTTCTCAATTTTGAGCAGGGTGGTCTGCTGCTGGAGGTGGTGTTTCTGGAGTGCTCTGGAGTGTGGGACGAGTTGCAAGCTGCGAGTTTGAGGAGGATGAGGACGCGTCTTGGAAGAGAGGACGCGTCGTAATGATCGACGCGTGATCGAGTTCGGAAGCGAGACTCCGCAACGCCGAGTTCCATTTCGGGCACACGGACTCAGTGACTCCGCAAGTAGTGACCACGCACTACTAGCAGCTCACTTTCTACTCAAGCGCCCACCATGGCCCCTCCTCATCCGATGCAAGCCTCTATCCCACCGCCCAACACTCCTCCCTACGCAACGCTGCTCAACCCCAGCACAACCAACAGCAGCAGCAGCACGCGTCCTCGCCCTCCTTCCCTCCCCCGCCCCCTCCCCCTCTCCCCCATCTCCGCATCTCCATTCTCACCCAGCCCTTTATCTGGGAACGCTCGTACCCCCGGATCAGGGACGCCCAAGCCCAGCTCTAGCTCCAGCTTTAACTTCACCCAGCTACTCTTATCTTCCTCTTCCTCCCTTCCCTCCTCGAGCCCTCGCGCGAAACTTGAGACCGAGCCGCTTCTCAGCGCCCGCCAGCCGCTGAGTATGGGAACTACTACGGCTAACTTTCGGAGGTTTGTTCCCAGGAGCGGGGTCGTGTTCTGGCTCCAGGATAGGGTGGAGGAGGTGCTCATGTGGCGGAATAAGAGGGTGACGCTGGCCTGCATGGCGGGGTATGCATTCCTCTGTACGTACCCCTTACTTGGATAGCTAGCAGGAGCTAAGGAAATAGGCTGGTTCCCACGGATGATCCTCCTCCTCCCGCATCTCGCACTTCTCTGCGTGCTCTTGCCTAGCTACCTTCGACCGGAAAGAGACGCTCCCCAAGTCCCCCCTCTACCGATAGAAGGAAGCACAGAATGGCTCGCCAACGTCCAAGCCATCCAGAACCTTATGGGCTTCGCGTGCGTCCCTCTCCCCTTCCCCTTGGTGCCTCAGAGCCTAACTAACCCCACCCAGCTCAGACATATACGATCTCGCCCTGCCCCTCCTGCCGCACCTTACGCAGCGCACGGTGTACTCCATCCCCCTCACGCGTTTCCTCTCACTCAGCGTGCTCCTCCTCCTCCCCTTCCTGCCGTACCTCCCCCTCCGGCCCATCTTCCTCTGCCTCGGGCTCTCCCCTTTCCTCCTCACCCACCCCTCCGTCCTCCCGCTCCACCCCCACCTGCTCGCCAAGCTTCACAGCCTAGGGAGCCTCGTAGCCCTCAAAGCAAAGGACGACGATGCGCTCACCTGCTCGCACTGGACCGCTCGGGCAGGGGGGGAGCGTACCTGGGGCCTGATCGAGACCTGGGAACGAGAAACCTTTAGATTACCAGAAGGCGCCTCTGAGCAGATAGGCAAGCAGTGGCTGCCCGAAGGCCTGCGCAGCGCGTTTGAAGTCGCGCTTATCCCTGGCTGGGAAACGGTGGACGAAGGCTGGGTATGTGACTTTTTTGCGGGGTGGGCGGGAGGGGGAGCGGATGGCGATGGGTGGGTGTATGCGGATGAATTGGGGAGACCGCTGGACCCGCTACTGGGGAAGGGGGTGTTGAGGAGACGGAGATGGACGAGGAGAATTTGGAGGGTGCCGAAGGAGGTGTGAAGGGAAGGTGGATATGTGTCACTGTGTATCTTGTTCCGGGAGTGGGGAATGCTGGAACGTTGGAGATGTGTAATCAGTTGTATTCGTATGTGGGGATTACATCTCACTTCACGACGCTGGCATGGCGGTAACTGTCCTGTACGTGTGCAGCATGCAGCAATCACTGGAAATCAGTGACAACATTGTCATGCCACGCAGAGTTTCCTTTGTCCACCAGGTGTAGCGCGGGATCAATCTGCTTCTGCTTCTTCTTTCTTCTTGTCTCTGGACGATCAACAGGACGCTCGTGCTCTGGATCTGTGTCTCTAGTGTGCTGTCTCGGCCTGGGTGTGGTATACCTGCCGAAGGATCTGCCGGCTATTAATATCCTGTGACTGCAACAACAACGACGACGACGACAGCTCGCACCTATTTCCCTTTTGGGATAGGTGTTTGCCTAGGAGGGTGATGACGTCTTTTCTACGATCACTGGGCGTATGATCCTGCGCTGGATCTACATGGCTAGCGTGTACGATGACACGTCTATGTGATGAGACATCTGCATCATCCACGCTTTGGGTGACGACATCCTCCTCTTCGTACAGGACAACACACCACCCAAGCCGATGGACCTTTCCCCTCTTTTGGACCGGGAGTCCGATTCGCTTATAACCTCTCTCGAGTGGTCCACTCCACCCTCCATCACCACCACCACCACCGCCATCTCCCCTCCGCCCCCGCCTGCTGCGCTCCATCGTCCACGCTCATCTCCTCCTTCTTCTGCTCTCTATCCGCTCTTGTCATCTTGGGTCTAAACACCACTCTCTTGAAAGACTGCGCACGCTCATTCATATTAAAACACACCGCACAAAGCACTAGCATACACCCAACCCCGACCTTCGAGCACAATGTTTCTCATACCTCTCCTACCCCTGCTCCCCTCAGCCCAGGCGTTCCTCCTCTTCGCACAACCACTCGTCCTAGCCCGTATGGACCCCATCGTCCAGCCCCTCCAGGCATCGCAGCACACCCACCTCGTCGTCGGCGGCTCGGCATTCCAGTCCACCTATTCCTACATCTCCTACGCTTCTGCGAACTGTACGACGATGGAGGCCAAGGTTGACAAGAGTAATTATTGGACTTCGCCCGTCTTTGGACGGAAGGGAGGGAAGTATAAGCCTTTGCCAGTGCACGAGGTGAGGGTGTACTACCTCCAGCAGGTGAGTCTGTCTCCGCTCTCTAGCAGCGCAGTGCTCACGCACGGGCAGGGGGAAGAACCCACCACCGCGTTTCCAGAAGGACTCAAGATGCTCGCGGGGAACGCCATGTCACTCAACTCCACCGGAAACGCCTACGACGGCAGCAAATACGCGACCTTTGACTGTCAGCAAGATCTCTCCAACCCGACGGACGGGCTGGCGATGCGCGGGTTCCCACCGTACAAGTGCCAGGGGTTCCTGCGCGCTTCCGTGCCCTTCCCAAACTGCTGGGACGGGAAGAACACGGATTCCACGGATCATCATGCGCATGTCGCGTATGCGGAGAATGGGGGTGGCGGCGATTGCCCCGACACGCATCCCGTTAGGTTCCCGCAGCTTGTACTCGAGTTTGGATACGTTTCGCATGAGTATGAGCCGCATGAACTGATCATGTCTAACGGGGATACGACGGGATACAGTACGTCCCTCCCGGTGTGTCTTGCAGTGTTGCTTGCTGACGCGCGCAGGCCTACACTCAGATTTCGCCATGGGATGGAATAGGAACATCCTCAGCGCAGCACTCGCCGACCCAACATGTCAACACCGGCAGAACCTGTACACCGCTGACACTGGGGGTGAATGTCTCACTCTCCTACCCCACGCGGACAAGGCCGCTTCCCAATCCTGCGAACTGGAAGGGTATATCCCCCAGGAAGAAGTGGGCTTATTAGGCCCGCTCGGGAAGTTGCCGGGGTGTAACGTCCCTTGGAGAAAAGGGGACCGGCCGTGTATGGAGGCGGATGAAGTGGGGTACGGGAGGCCAGGGAGGTGGGTTGGGTGGAGTGGGGTTATACTGCCGGTTTGGGCGCCTGCGGGGAGGGGGAGGAGGGAGTCGGCGGTCGTGCGCCGGGGGCAGTAACGCGCTCCCTCCTTTGTTCCCCTTCTGGCTTCCCAAGTCGTCCCCCTTTCTTCAAGTTCCTTCTGTCAGATGCACTTCCGCCGGACCCGCAGAAAGGCCTAACGGGTGGACAACGCCCACCATTCGCTCGTTTCCTCTGTTTTGGAGCAGCCTAAACAGCTATGCTTGTAGCTCTTTTTGTTACTGTATTATTATACTGGCTTTTAATTGTGTATCTATTATGTTGATGTTCATCGCCACCTCCGCGTGATACATACATGTTGAACATTTTCAGTCCTCCACTAGAACTTTACTATGTTACACCTATACCAGCTACCCAACCACAGACAGCCGACTGGGCATCAATGCATATGCACAAGGCGGTCCACGAAACTCTCCATGCCTCAAGAAATTGCTGAGTCAGCCACGAGCCTTCCTCGAAGAAACAACCACGCAACCCCACTTCCAGTCTTTGTCAGCAACAGCATCAGGAGCATCTTCCTTCGCCAGGATTCCTACAACACAGTTCCTACAGCGCTCCTCCTAGGCATCTCTTCCCCACTGACGCCGGGATTCCCAATTCCAAGAGGTCAGAGCGATAAAGTGTCTGAGTCAGCTATCCCTTCCCCACGAGGGAATGTTACTGCGGTCGGCTTCATTCATGGGGCGATTGGACTAGTGCGGGGAGGGAGTTGCGGACGGGTGGGTGTGCAGGCTTTTGACTTTGCTAGAGAGGTATAAAGACTTCGGGTACTGGTGAACGAATGCAAAACAGCAAACCTCTCGCCCCAGTACTCGCAGCGCTCCCTCAACCAACATTACTCACTCTTTAAAGTTCACCTAGCAAATGTCTTCAACTTCCTCAAACGTGGTCTTCGTCACCGGCGGCAACGGCTTCGTAGGCAGCGCAACCGTGCTTGAGCTCATCAAGCGGGGATACAAAGTCAAGGGCAGCATTGTGCGTGTTGCTCCTTACAGCGGTCGGTAAATCTGACCGTACAGTTGCAGCGCTCGCAAGCCAAGGCAGACGCGTTCAACAAGATGTACCCAACCGAGTCAAAGTCGATCGAAAGGGTCGTCGTCCCTGACCTGATGGACGAGCAAAGGATGACCTCCGCCCTCTCCGGCGTAGACTACGTGATCCACATGGCCTCTCCTTTCCACATGAACTTTACAAACAACGTCGAAGAGATGCTCAAGCCCGCGCGGGAGCTGACGCTCGTCACTCCGAGCGGCGGCCAAGTACTCGCGCATCAAGCGGGTGGTGCTTACGAGCAGCTTTGTGGCGGTTTGGGATCTGATGAAGGGGAATGGGCTTTGGCCTGAACATACGTATACAGCTGAGGACTGGAACCCTGCGACGTGGGAGCAGGCGGCCGGGGCCGCGCATCCATTGTTTGTCTACTCTGCTTCCAAGGTCAGTCGTACAGCTACATATACGTAGCAAGCGGATGATCTGACCTCGTTTTTTCAGAGCCTGGCGGAAAAGGCAGCATTCGATTTTGTCGAGAAGGAGAAACCTGGATTCTCGATCACGACTTTCTGCCCGCCTTTCATCTGGGGCCCGCCTGGTCAGCCTGATCTCACACTGGGGAACTTGAATACCTCTACGTGGGTCTTGTGGTGGACTCTTAGCGGCCAGGCGAAGGAGATTGACGAGACTGGCTTGCCTGTCTTTGTCGATGTCCGTGATCTGTGAGTGGTGGTTCTGCTGCTATAGGGATTCAGCTGAACTTGAAAAAAGTGCGTATCTGCAAGTTGCTGCTCTGACAAACGACAAAGCCAAGAACCAGCGCTACCTCGCCATCTCCGACGAATGGTACATGGAGCAGCTGGTCAATATCGTAAAAGAGGAATTCCCCCATCAGGCATATCGTCTACCTCCGACGGTGAGGACCAGGGGTCCGGACCACTTTGGGTATGACGTGGCTAAGACCGAGCGGGTCTTTGACATCGAGTTGATCCCTTTGCGGAAAACTGTTGTGGAGACCATGAAGTTCTTGTTTGACAAGGAGAGCGTGGAGAAGGCCGGAGAGGCATAGATCCCTTGTTCAGTATCTACATATGTTATTCTTCAGTGTTTCTGTGGAACTATGTCAAGATATTGTTATTTATGTGGTGAGGCGTACGACTCACCAGAGGGTGTGTTGGAGGCAGCTTTTATAGTACCAGACATTCCGTGCGCCTACAACAGACAAACAGCCATGGTGCTCAAGAGAAGCGCTGAATTATGCCAATCTGCGTAGAATACAATGTGTTTGACTCATGCCCACACAAGAGCGTATCCTGTTAAACCTAGTTCATGTCAGCCAAACACAATCCACACAAAGCCTATCCCACACACCTTTCCCTACTTCTCCTTGACCAGCTTCTTCAGCTCCGCCCTCAGATCCCTCGGCACCCCAACCCAGTCCTTCCTCGTCAACGGCTCCTCAATCCTAAGATTAGCAGGCCACTTCTGCCCAGCCCTGATCGTTTCCCTCTTCTGCTCCAGCAGCTTGGAGATGAGCGTCGGTGCGTTGGCTTTGTTTGGCTGAGGGCGGAGTTCGGGTCGGACGAGCTTGCGAGGGACGCTAGAGCGGGGGAGGATACGTGCGAGTGAGGCCGGCGTGGGGCGCATGATAGCTGCGTTACCCTCCTAAGTTGTTCAACATCTAGCGAACAGTGTTCACTGCGCTACTCACCTTCACTAACGTCGACGTCGAGATAAAAGTCGCGAGAAGCGTGAGATGAAATACTTCCGTTCACCATGAGCCAATTTTTTTGGGCAACTTGTACACTATCATCGCCCTTATCGACATCGACATCGACGTCCACTCCCACATAACCGATGTCCCACCAACCCCAAGCCGCCACTGCCTCCGAAGCGGTGTTCAAGCCCTCTGTCGACTTAGGCGGGGAGCTGCCCGAAGTACGCGGCCCGGACTTCAACACCGACCTTTCCCTGGACGACCTGCTGCGATGTTTTGGCACAACCGGGTTCCAGGCGACAGGTATCTCCCGAGCGATAGACGTGATCAACCAGATGGTGAGTGCCTCGCACTCGCGCTCTTGCGCTGACACCGGCTGACGGGGGTCAGTAGATCTCCTGGCGGTTATCTGACGACCCCCCAGAACCAGACGAATCAGAGCACTACCTCGACCCCCTCATCCGGGAGCAAACACGGTGCAAGGTCTTCCTTGGCTTTACGAGCAATATGATCTCCTCCGGGGTGAGGGAGGTGATCCGCTTTCTCGTCCAGCACGGGTATGTCGATTGTCTCGTGACGACTGCGGGTGGGGTTGAGGAGGATCTGATCAAGTGCCTCGGGAAGACGTACGTGGCGGAGTTTGAGCTTCCGGGGAAGGACTTGCGGGAAAAGGGACTCAATAGGATCGGGAACCTGTTGGTGCCGAACGATAATTACTGTAGGTTTCAGGAATGGATCGACCCGCTTCTGACGAGGATGCTTGAGGAGCAGAAAGAGCTGGGCACGCTCTGGAGCCCGAGTAGCGTTATCGCCCGCTTGGGGAAGGAGATCAATGATGAGAGTTCAGTGTTGTACTGGTGCTGGAAGGTGCGTGTGCATGCCCCTGCCTGCTCTGGCCAGCTCACGCTCACGCACGATGATCTGACGCAGAACGACATCCCCGTTTTCTGCCCTGCGCTCACAGACGGCTCGTTAGGGGATATGATCTTCTTCCACTCTTTTTCCCACCCGGGGCTCGTCGTTGACCTCGTCTCCGATATCCGGAAACTCAACAGGCTGGCGTACGACTGCAAGCGCGCGGGGATGGTCGTCCTCGGGGGAGGGGTATGCAAGCATCATGTTGCTAACGCGATGCTCATGAGGAACGGGGCGGACTATTCGGTGTTTGTCAACACGGCCCAGGAGTTTGATGGTAGTGATGCGGGTGCGAGGCCGGATGAGGCCGTGAGCTGGGGAAAGATCAGGGGGGACGCAAAGGCTGTCAAGGTTTTTGCGGACGCGACCGTCGCGTGGCCGTTGATTGTCGCAGGGACGTGGGCGAGGAAGCATAGGGAGGCGGTGGGCAAGGGGGAGAAGGAGGAAGGGGGGAAGGAGAGGGGAATGCCGAAGCACGCGCATTTGCATGTATGAATCTAGAGTAATGTGTACACCTTTGCTTGTCCGGTCGTTCTTATCTGTCCATTCCCATCCGTGGGTAGCTCCCTGGCTGCTCGACTACTCCTCCTTGCCCATCTTCTCCTTCTCCTTCTCCTTCACCGCATCCACCACATCCGCCATCGCCATCGCCTTCCCAGGTACAAGCCCATACAGCACCGTCCCAGCACCGACCATCCCCGCGCCCAAAACAAGCTCCATGTTCCACCCCTCCCCCAGGTAAAGGACGTTAATCACCACGCTGATCGTTTTGCGCGCAGTGAGTATAAGGTTTACGGCCACGCTCGAGACTCTCTATTCGTGCAACCCAACACGACACGACACGAGGCGTTAGCCGTCAGCTAGATCTATAGCAGGCACCGGGAAGGGGGGGGGGGACGCACCGTCGTCAGCCGGTTCACACCCGCCACACACGCATACTGGCTCAAGACGTTCAGCGCCAACGCCCAATAGAGAGTCTTGATCCTCCATGTCGGGGAGAGTGGGAGCTTAGGCGGGAGGTAAAACGCGGTCGTGTCCTTTGATTCTGATATCGCTTGCAGGCCTGCGCGTATCGATGGGAGGAAGAGCATCCATATCGGGAGGGAGAGAAGGTGCTGTTTCTGTGTTAGCGTAAGGGAGGGGAGGGGAGAGGGGGGGCAGACAGTGTAGAAGAGCCCTTCTTGCCACTGAGGGCCGTACCGCTTATACGTCTCTTCCTGGCGCATGCCTAGGATTCCGGAGATGAACAGTCCTCCGAGGAGGAGCGCGATGCCCGAGGCGTAGTCTGCTGGGTTGACGTGGGTTGGGCTGGAGGAGGGAGCGGGGCGGGAAGAGAGGGTGGCGAGGATTATCCCTAGGGTTACTAGGAGGACGGAGAGCTGTGCGGTGGGGTTAATGGGGGACGGGAGGGGGAGAGAGGGAGACGCACTACTTGGAGCACGCTGTACTGCCTGCGCTTTATAAAGTACCCGAAGAGCAGACTTACGGCGAGCCCTGTGTGCGTGAGCAGGATCCAGGGGGAAGACAAGGTGCGCACCTCCGGAGCGGAATATGATCTGCACTGTTAGCGGGATGCGGTACTTGAATACCTGGTTGTTCATCATACTGACGAGAGTGACGAGGAGGACGTCGAGCACCCATCTGGTTAGAGGTACTTTGTGTGGTTTGAGGGATGGGATGAGGGGGAGTGATGTTCCTGGAAAAGGGGAGAAGATGAGGAAGGAGGGAAGTTGACGGAGGACGACGAATGATATTTGTAGGAAAGTGAGTGCGGAACCTGGATGGGGTTAGGATAGCCTGAGAGTGGGAAGAAATGGATCTGCCTATGTTGGGTGTTGATTGTAGGAGACGACCGAGTGACCAAGCGTTTGAGCAGCAACCTCCGAATACGAGAGTGAGTATGAGTGACCAATCGAGCAGTGTGGACATGAGAGCAGTAGGGGGTAATTGAGAGGATGCCATGCCTATGACTGAGATAGTTGCTGTCTACGTGTTGTGTATATTGACGCCCGTTGTATTTCCCATTCCATCCATTCAAGCGCCCATTCCAGACCCTAGTGGCTGTGTTCATCCACGTCGCGTGTTTCATTCCACCGCGTCCCTCATCTCTCTCCATCTCCAGAGCATGCGCATATAGACCATCTTCATCCCCACCTCTCACATTCCCACCATGTGGCTACCTATCATCATCGCATTCATACTCATATCATTATCATCACTCTACATAATCCTCTTCATCCTCTCATCGCGCATCCTTCCTCCTTCACCTTCAGAACTCACATTCCTCACTGCCTCTTCCCCCAACCCTCAGCCTCTTCCCTCCCTCTCCTCCCCCGCATCATGCGCACTATCAGTAATAATCCCCGCATATAACGAAGTACTCCGTCTTCCCAAAATGCTAGACGAAGCCATCCCCTACCTCGAGGAGCATCATTCATCTCGCGCAGCGCGTGCGGCGGAAGAAGAGCTCCAAGCCTCCGAGCCGGTGGAAGATCACCCAGTCGTACAGGGACAAGAAGGATACGAGATCCTCATCGTCGACGACGGCAGCAAAGACGCTACCACCGCCAGCGCGCTCTCCTACGCAAGCGCTCATCCCACCATCCCCATCCGCGTTGTCACCCTAGAGAAAAACCGCGGAAAGGGCGGGGCGGTCAAGCACGGCGTGCTCCATTCCCGCGGCGCTAGGATCTTGTTTGTAGATGCGGACGGGGCGACCAAGTTTGAGGATCTGAGGAGGGTGTGGAAGGAGTGTGCAAGGCTGGAGAGGGTAGGGGCGGGGTATGCGTGTGTTGTCGGTAGCAGGGCGCACTTAGTAGGCACGGACGCAGTGGTCAAAGTTCGTCTCTCCTCCCCCTCTCCCAGCCACCTGCACCCACTGACAAACGCCCAGCGCTCCCTGATAAGGAACATTCTCATGCACGGCCTGCACACCATCCTGCGCACGCTCGGCGTCGGCTTCGTCCAAGACACGCAATGCGGGTTCAAGCTCTTCTCCCGCCCTCTAGCGCAGCTCCTCTTCCCAGCTCAACACGTCACTCATTGGATGTTCGACGTCGAGCTTCTCATTCTATGCAGTATGCTCCGCGCCCCTGTGGCTGAGGTACCGGTCGGATGGCACGAAGTGGGCGGGAGCAAGATCAGGTTGGTGTGGGATAGTCTGGGCATGTTGAAGGATTTACTGGTTGTGAGAGCGAATTATGCGCTGGGGACGTGGAGGGTGCCTAGGATGCCTAGGATGCCTAAGGGGGAGATGAATGGCAGGGCGAAGTAGAGCTGACGATGCGTGCGTGCGTGCGTGCGATGCATGTACCTGCTGAGCTGGCACTGTTTGAGGAAGGTACGATGAGACCGGACGGAGAAACGGTGTTATATCATTCGAATATTCGGCGTTGACGAGCTGACGAAATGGTGTGGTGTGCGAGGCGTAGTTGTAGAATATACCTGCCCAGCTGGCAAAGTTTGAGCGAGTAGGAGAGAAAAAGTGTTATATCATTCAAACAAATAGCGTAAACTAGCCCACAGCCGAGGGAGAGCGCGCAAAGAACCTTTATGCCATGCTACTATAACCAGAAGACACGGAGGGAGGAAGAGAGGGAGAGCGGGAAAATGCCAGGCGTGAGCGTGAGATATACTAGTTGTACAGAGGTGGTTGAGGTGGTTGAGGTGGTTGAGGTGGTTGAGGTGGTGACAGGAGGGAAGGGGAGGATGCATAGGCGTGCGTGGGAGGATAGTACGGAGGGTCGTGCAAGGTACCGCCAGGGAGATTGGATATTGGATACAAAACAACAGAGGCGTCAAGGTTGTGCAGACGGAGAGAGAAGCCGGTAAGGCGAAAGCCGAAAGCCGAGATATGGGAGAACTAGGGATAAGACAAGAGTCGAAAGTCGGTCATGAGATATTGCGGTCCAGAATGGGCTCGTCCGGTCTAGCGCATAGGCGGGATGCAGAGCGCGAGGACGGGGGAAATGCTTGAGAAGGAGGGCGACTGGCTAGGGCGGCAGCCCGAAGTAGTCGGGTATAGATCACGAACTGATCTCGCCGGGGTGGCCGGCTCTGCCGTCCCCGAATTATTCGACTCGGTCGGACAGGTTGATCAGCAGCGTCGCGAGGCATCGTTTCGTTACGCTATCGCCCTTGAGCAACTGCGAAAAAGTGCCATCGCGCAGAGGCTCGGGCAGGCAGGCGCGGAGAGCTTCCCGAGCCCTGAATCAGCAGCTATTAGCATGGGATAATGTGAATGGTTCGAGGTACGCACCTCATATTGTCACTCAACCTCAGGTAGCATCGCACCACATGCTTCAACAGCCTCACCGCCTGACTCTCCACCAACTGTGACACCATGTTGCTCAGAACGGTGCCGACCGCATAGAAGCGCTCATAAGTGTGGCAGATGTACGTTAATCCCGTCTCGTCGAGCAGGATCTTCTGGACGATGAAGATCGCGACTGTTTTTGACAACTCCGACCCCGTCTCCATGATCCGCAGGCAGAGGGGGATGATCTCCGTGGAGAGCAAAAAGTGGATGACATTCGTGTTGTCATTTTGCTGTCATAAGTCAGCATGCAGTCCCAACAAGGAAAAAGCGATCGTACCTTGACCAGAGCACCAATGACGCCGAGAGACGTCAAGCGAAGGTACTCGAATGGTCTCGTTTTGGAGGTGGTGTTCAAGAAAGGATAGAGGAATAAGGGAATGTGGGCTGAAAATCTGGAATCAGCCGATATGAACATCAATCTGACCTCGTCCACGTGCCTGACAAGAAGAGTCCACGCGTCTCCGGGTGACTCGCAACGCATTGTAGAAGAGCAAGAGCATTGCACACTCGATTGGATGCATGGGCGGTCAAAGAAGGAGGAGAGAGCAGCGGGTAAACCGAGACAATCTCCTGCAGAAGGATGGCCATAATTCCTAGAAACGAGAATTGATGAGATCGAACCCTTGCGGCTTTTGGGGTCGCGTGAAACACGCACCGAAGGAATGCCAGAGCACGAGAGCAAGATCTTCAAATTGCTCTCTCTTCTTGCTCAGCTCTAAAAGCGCCGTCTCCCGAGTGGCAGGATCCATCAGGTCGATCGCGAGCTGATAGATCTTCTCCTCCTCCGCTTGCGATTGCATTTGCGGGGCACCGCCGTAGGAGACGGCCGTGCCCGAAGGCACTCCATTTAGAGCAGGAGGCGGCGAAGGATAGGTCAAAATGCGTGGTGCAGGCTGAAGACTGTTGGTATTCTGTGCCTGTGGATAAGGCACAGCGAAGTTCATATTGCGGATGAAGCGGAGAGAGGGGAGAGGAAAGGGAGAGGAGGTAGGGACAGGGACGGGTGGACGGGGATGAAAGGAGGATGAAGGGGATGACGGAAGCGACTTACAGTCCTTTAGTGGCTGCGGACCCATTTCCTTTCTTAGTCAGCTGCCCGTCTCTTCTTCGCAACTCACCACAACATCAACCAAAGGCTCATCGACGTTCTTGATCAGCTCTGACGATACGAGTCTAGTCTACAACGCGTCATTGTGCCTGGGATCGTCACAGCCTTTCAACCGCAGGTCCACCCAGGCCTCAACTCAATCGACCCCAGTACCAGTTTGATTGAGGATTTGGAAGGGAATATTGCATGGAGCGGATCTAAGGTAATTGAATTGTTTGCATGGTCGTATCCAGGAGTCTTATAGTACCAACGACGAGAGTGGGAGGTAGTTTCGTGTCGGTGACGCTGGCCGCTTCGCACTGGACAACGCACGCCCTGCATGACACCGTTTATCGGACACGCTGCATGACCTATACTATTTCAGACACATTATACCGAGTACTACGCAGCAGTTGTAACTGGTGATGAGCGCCCAGTTGAAATCAAAATGTTTGTACTCCCATAAACCCATGTTTAGCAAATGAGACTACATTTGCATTTGACAAATGCCTACTATGTATCCGCACGTTCTTCAACCCTCCAACTGTGACATTCAATAGATTTTAATAGTCGCTGCACAACTTGAAGAGAGGAGCAATTTGCACGTCGAGTGTTGTCACGTGTTGCAGCACACGCATCAGTGGATGATGGTGGCGGTGCCCAAACACTCTAAAGGGATTAAATCCTAATGACGTAATCTATGTTCAGGGTGAGATCAGAAGGTCGGCGAGGGATGAGGGACCGCACCGGGGTGTGGTCTCCTCCTGACTCCGATATCAGCATTCGCACGCTTAGGGGGTACGCGTACAACTCTTTACTCTCCTTCCCATCCCCTTATCACCTTTTGTCTTTCCTCCCCCTCCGCTCTCTATCTGAACAGGCCATCGCTATCATTATCAATTCTCCTACTCCAGCACTCTCCTCAAACTCACGATGTTCGTCCGCACTCTCATCACTCTCTCCGCTCTTGCGGCAACGACGTTCGGCTCTATCCTCCCCCAGCTGCCTCTTTTCAATGATGGAGATGTGACTGCACAGGCTGGATGGACATGGTCTGACTGTGGTACGTTTATCCACCATCATTTCTCTTCCTCAGCGACCCCTGTCTCTTATCTGCTCTGAGCGGTACACGCCCATACTGACTGTTCACCGCAGGCGATCCCTCCTTTGCCATCGAGGTCCAATCCATTGAGGTTACACCCGATCCCCCTGTTCCAGGGAAGAACATGACTGTTGACGTGGTCGGCACCGCACGCAGCTCCATCGAGGATGGCTCCTTTGCCGAGGTCACTGTGAAGCTTGGAATGATCCAGCTTTTGAAGAAGCAGTTCGACGTATGCATGGAGGCGTAAGCATTGTTTTCCTGTGTGTCTATTGCACATGTTGAAGGATGAAATGATTATAGTCAGAAGGCCAATGTCACCGTGCAGTGCCCTGTCGAGGCCGGACACTATGCGATCTCAAAGACGGTTACTCTCCCACGTGAGATCCCACGCAGTGCGTATCTCCACACTCCCGCGTTGACATCACGCTGATATATGTGCCCTCCGTCGCAGCCAAATTCATTGTGAACGTGCGTGGATCTACCCAGGACGATGTGGACATGATCTGTCTCGACTTGAGCGTCAACTTCGGCAGCAAGCCTTGAGCTACCGCCACCCCAGGTATCTTCCCACTACGGCGTCGTTGGCTTGGTGCCTTGGTGCACACGACATATATGCGCCTTGTTCTGACTAGTATCGTCTTCTCACCCGGTGATATGACTCCTGAGTCTCTTCCTTGATTTTCACGCCTCCTCATGCTGCAATGTAACTTATATGTTTGCAACCTGCAATGTTCATTATACATGCCCGTATAGTCATAGTGCATCTGTTGTTGCTCCCCATCCGGACGGGCTTGCGTGCCCGGAGATGGCATGTGTCTGTGATGCGAAGTCTGTCAACGATCCCTGAGTGCAGGGCGATCATTACATCGTGCCTCCGAGCTCCATCCAGCCAATTATGATCATTCTTGGGTGCTTGCCTCATGTGACACGATGTCGAAAGCGCTATGAACATATATCTCCCAAATGGGTACAGGCTGAAGGGCGTGCAGAGTATACACGGTGCCGGTGAGTATATGATCATCCATTGACGTGGTCGTGCCGCTCAGACTCCACAAGCCTTCGACCACCTCTCTCCTCCACCCACCACCGTTCCACCACCCCAACAATAAAATATGGCGCGCCTCTCCCGTTGTTCTTTCCACCCGGTGGGTGTAAATCCTCGTGAAGAAAACAGTGGCAAGCTCCTGGAGAAAACGAAGACAGACGACACGGCCCTTTGCTAGCGGTCATTTGAGCTACAACGGACCGATGCAGCTCGCTATCGCATTGGGGACCTGTTCAACGAGGGGTGGGATCCGTATAGTGCAAGGAAACGCCGACGTGGAGAGTTTTCGCTTGGAGCGTGAAGGAGGGGAGTGGAAGAAGTAATGAGAAGAACCTAGAAACGGGTGTCGAACTTGAACCAGTACGAGAACTGTTCGTGTGGTGGTCTAAGTACTGATTCAGAGTAGCTTGTACGCACGTTTCCGTCCTTCCGGTCATGTGGCTCGTCAGTGGCCAATCTACGTTTTCTGGGCCTTTGCTTTTCCCGCAATCGCGACCCTCATGCCCACCCGTATATTCCGCTTCTTGCGCCTCTCCCAGCCCCAATGACCCCCGGGTGGATTTCGCTGCTTTGATGGACAACGTCCTGCCGTACATGCTCCTCACTTGGATGTGATCCCATGTCAGAGGCGAATGACACAAGCTTGAGCACCACTCTTGCAGAACGCACTTTCGTGAGACTTCCTCCGACCGATTGAGGGAAAGCAATCAACTTTAGTCCACCGCTCATACCTCTCTCTCCTTCCCGATTCAAAAGCCAGCACGTACGACGATCCTCTGCCTTGCACATAACCTCAAACCAGACTTCAAGGGGAGTTACACCAGTCATCGTTCATTGAGAGGTGGTTGTTGACTGCGGCGAAAACAAAGGACTTGAGGGCTCAGATGGCGAGATACTGGTCTGTTCTCTCGAGTCTGCATTAGGAAGGTGGTAACCCGTTGGGGAAGGCGGTCTGCAGTAGTGCCATTCGACAGGTATGTGACGAGAATGCCCCCTGTGACAATCTTGCGTGGTCCTGAGGAAAAACACCCCCTTTGTAGGATCAGACATCAAACAAACTCAACTTGCTTCTTTGTTTGCATTACTCGGAGAAGATGACCACAGTCACGCACCTGTGGAAGTGACGATATCCCCTAGAAACCGCTCCCTCGCACACCTGTCCCTACCCCCTCTTTTTGGCCAAAGACCCTTAGAACAGTAACCACTCTTCCACCATATTTGGCCGCCTTGTTGTAGTACCAGTGAAACATATGTGGTGAACGACGATGGCATTGAGCATAGGTCCGCGTGAGCGGACCCTCTCTATCTAGGTGACTCCGTTAATGTAGGGATGGTATCCGTGAACACTATGTGCACAGTTCTTGCCAACACCAACCATCTTCCCGATCCAGTGAAAATGACAGAGTGGTACCCTCTGCAGCTGGCGAGGAGGATGGTAGTACTGCCGTTTAGGGTTAACGTGAGTATGATACCAAAGGTGGCAGTGGAACCTAAGGGCCATGACGAGTGCCTGGCTTTTGCTCTTATGTGTGTGGTTATGCGCATGAAGAATGTGTATATGCCAGTAAGTACCAGGACAGTCTTGTTCACCATAGCAGGCAGTAGGGTATCACAACTTAACTCCCTCATAATCATGGACGAGGATGGAAGCGACGAGGACATCATCGCTTCCATCCTCGTCCATGATTATGAGGGACATCATTGCTTCCATCCTCGTCCATGATTATGAGGGAGTTAAGTTGTGATACCCTACTGCGCATGACACGCTCAGATCCCTAGGTGCGCAGTTTGCACACCGACCTAACCCTTGGCTCACGATCTAGAGCTCGACACTCCCCCTCAAGCTGTGCCCAGTCCTAACCCTTCGATCAACAACTCGTGCTTGATGGATAGAAGCGGCTTGGTCAGGAGATCTGTGAGCATGAGGTCCGTGGGACAGTAGGAGAACATGCTGTTGGTCCGTGATCTCTGTGATCAAGTTCTTGATCCACAGAGCCTCTTTCGCTCCATGAGCTGCGGCCATGTACTCGGCCTCTGCACTCGATAAGGCCACGGTCGGCTGTTTCTTGGATGACCATGAGACTGCTCCTCCAGCGAGCATGGTCACATAACCTGAGATTGACCGTCGATCATCAAGATTGCTGCCCCAGTCCGCGTCCGTGTAGACCATGGGCTTGAGCTCACGAGGTCCGTGATCTTGCATGCCCGTGTACGTGATCTTGTGCTCACTGGTTCCCTTCAGGTACCGGAACACACGCTTGGCTGCCGTGAGGTGAGCTGGTCCGGGGTTGATTAAGTACTGGCTCAGATGCTGGACCGCATATGCAATGTCCGGTCTCGTCATCACGGTCATGTACATGAGGGAGCCGATCATGGCTTGATAGCATGCCTTGCTCTTCTCGTGCTCGTTTTGCTCGTGATCTGACATGTGCTCTAGGTCCGGGCAGTTCTCGAGCGTGAGGCGGATATTGGGATCCAAGGGGGTCCGTGTCATGTTGGCCTGCTCAAGGCCGAAGCGCTTGAGTGTGCGCAGGATGTGGCCGGTCTGCGAGATAGTGATCTGCTGCTTGGCGCGGTCACGGTGGATCTCGAGTCCCAGTGAGTAGTGGAGCTCCCCCTCGTCCGTGATCTTGAACATGTTCTTAATCTCGTTCTTGATGCTCATGATGTTTGCAGGTCTGGTCTTGGTAAAGACCCATCCATCATCTACGTGCATGGTGATAATGCAGAATGGATCCATCCGGATGAAGCATGCTCGGTCAGTCTCAAGGATCTTGAATCCCAGTTCTTGCAGCGTGCTCGAGAGCTTCTTGTACCAGTAATGTCCCGCTTGCTTGAGCCCGTACAGACCTTTGATCAGTCTACAGACCTTGTTCTCATGCTTGGGCTTGATAAAACCCTCGGGCTGGCGCATATAGAGCTCTTCCTTGAGCTCACCATGAAGGTACGCTCCGACCACGTCGATCTGGTGGATCTCCCAATCGTGCACTGCTGCATATGCTAGCAGGATCTGGATTGTGGTTGGCTTGACTGTGGGAGCAAAAGTCTCGAAGTAGTTCACTCCATGAACTTGGGTGAAGCCTTGGGCCACAAGGCGGCCCTTGTATCGTACGATCTCCCCTTCCTTGTTGCGCTTGATCTTAAACACCCATTTAGATCCAATGATCCTTGCGTTCTTGGGTGCTTCAGCCAGTTCCCAGGTGCCTCGCTGCTCGAGCTGGGTGATCTTGGTTTGCGCGGCCTCATGCCATTCCTTGGCATGCTCAGACGTGATTGCTTGTGCATATGACTGTGGCTCCTCTTGATCGTGGCTCATGTTCATGGACAGGAACGCATACTCAACTGCAATGCTTGCTCGTGCAAGATCAGCTGGGTCTCCTTCCATGTTCTATTCTGCATTCCGGCTCTTGATTCGAGCACTTGAGCGTGTTGGTGGTCCGTAATCCTTTCTTGGGCGTAGACGTGGAGCTGACGGGTCTGGGTCAGGTGCCTGATCTAGTAGGTCCTCGACCTCTTTCTCCTCGATCTTTTCACCTTCATCGCTCTTGTCCTTGCGCTCCCCCTCGATGGAGGTGATCTCGACATGGGGATCAGGTTCAGTGCGGCGGGCAAAAGTCTCGTGAAAGATCACGCTCCGTGATCTGCGGATAGTCTTGCTTTGTGGATCCCAGCATCAGTACACACCCTTCATGTCGGGCTTGTACCCGACCAAGATGCACTTGTGCGATTTGGAATCGAGCTTCTTGCGGGCCTCATCCATGATCAGCACGTAGCACTGACACCCGATCTGTCGTAGGTGTGTGAGATCTGGCTTCTCACAATAGTAGGCCTCATATGGGGTGGTCTCGAGTCCGTGAGCTGGGCTCCTGTTCTTGAGATAGATGGATGTTGCTAAGATCTCTGCCCAGAGTCCTTTTGCAAGCCGCTTCTCCTCGATCATGCACCTCATGTGCTCAACCACAGTTCTCTGGCTGCGTTCAACTGTGCCGTTCTGGGCTGGTGTATGTGGTGCAGATGTGATCAGGCGGATCCCAGTCTCGTCCAGGAAGGTCTTGAAGTTCTTGTTCATGAACTCACCTCCATTGTCAGCCTGGATGACCCGGATCTGGTCTCCTGTCTCAAGCTCGACCATGTTCTTGAACTTCTTGAATGTCATGAAGGCATCGCTCTTGTGCTTCATGATGAAGATCCACATGTAGCTTGTTGCATCATCGACAATCGAGAACGCATACTCGCTTGAGCCAATAGATCTGGGGAACGGGCCCATGAGATCAAGGTGGACCTTGTGTAGGCGCTTGTTCACGCGCGTCCGCGGTCTGTCATGGGTAGGGAGCAGGGATCGGTGGTGCTTGCCCATTGCACATCCCTCGCATACGCACTCATCCGTCTTCAGGTCAATCTTCATGCCCGTGACCATGTTCTTGGTCATGAGCTGGCGGAGGTATCCAATGTTCAGGTGGCCGAGGCGCTCATGCCAGGCCATGACGTGATCAGATGCGGCAACATAGACATGGTCTGTCGTGGTTCTTTTCTCGGTCTTGAGAGCAAGCTTATACAGATTGCAGGTCAAGAGCTTGCCGGTTGCGACAGCCGTTCCGTCCTTCTTCCGCATGACCAATCGTCCTCCCCCTATCTCGGTCTTCATGCCGGCAAGATCACATCGGGGGATTGAGAGTAGGTTGATGCCCGCATCGGGGGCATGGATCACATTGTTCAATAAGACCTTGTGCTCAACTCCATGATTCATGAACATGATATGGACAGATCCTCGTCCAAGGACCATGTTTGGCTTGTCCCCTAGTCCGAGGAGAGCAGTGTTGGTCTTGGTGTATTCCGTGAATGAATCACGGTCTGTCGCTATGTGGGTCGAGGCTCCCGTGTCTGCGAGCCAGTCATGTCGCATGAGCTGGTCAGAAGTCACGAGCATTGCCCGATTTAGCGATAGAAGCACACTGTCAGGTCCTTCGGTCTTCTTGCTTCTTTCCTTCGCATGATGCGCTCGGTCCTGGTTCTTCTGACGCCAGGGTGGGGTCTCGCCAGCACGACCACCTCCTCTTGAGTAGCACTCGTTCTTGTGGTGCCCGGTCTTCCCACAGTTGAAGCACTCATCCTTGGACCGGTCCTTCTCTTGACCGCGTCCTGCTCCTGATCCTCGACCTGATCCTCGACCTCGGTTCCCTCGCCCGCACTCTCTGGTGTAGAGCACGCTTGCTCCCTCACCCTCGCCTGATGCCTCCTTGCGGAGCATGTACTCCCCAATCACGGCTGAGATCACGGCTTCGGAGCTGGGGTTTGGGATCGAGTTGTATCGGCTGACAAAATCTCGCCATGTATCAGGAGGGAGTGACGTGATCAAGATCCATGCAAACTCCTCGTCCTTGATCTGTGCTCCAGTCTGCTGAAGCTGGATCCGGAGCTTGCAGAGCGAGTTGATGTGATCCTTCATATCGGTCGAGTCGTCATAGTGTGTGGTGTTCAGCTTGCGTCGGAGGATCGCATAGCCGAACTGTCCCTGGTCTTGCATGTACGTGCATAGACAGTCCCAGATCTCCTTCGAGGTCTCATACTGAATCACGTTCAGGAGGATCTCGTCATCAAGTTTGTTCGTGATCTGGTTCTTGGCCTTCCGGTCATGCTTGCGCCATCTCTGGACCTCAGTCCGATAGGCAAGTTGCTCGGTCTCGCTCAGGCCTGGTGCTGGCTCGGGTGGTCTCTCAATTTCACCTGCCACATACCCCCAGAGGTCTCGCTCCTCGAGTATAGACTGCATCTGGAACTTCCACGAGATCCAGTTCTCGCGGGTCAGAGCCTTGACCGTGTACTTCACGGTGGTGGTGGTGTCTTGCTCACCGGACATGATCTAGGGGTGGATGGCTCGGATCGATGATGGATGCACCTGCGTCTAGACAGGGCTCATAACCTGTGGTGAACGACGATGGCATTGAGCATAGGTCTGCGTGAGCAGACCCTCTATCTACGTGGCACGCTCAGATCCCTAGGTGCGCAGCTTGCACACCGACCTAACCCTTGGCTCACGATCTAGAGCTCGACAACATATCCCTCCGTTTTTGTGGTTAATGATCTCTTCTGCCGTGCGTGTGCTCAGCAGCCATATAAATAGGCGCCTGGAACTGACCTGCCTTCTCTCAGCTCCATCTTCAATCTGCTCCATAAGAACTCGCATGCCTGGACCACCGATGCTCCATTATAACCCGGCGGACAACAACAGCTATGATTGGTTGAGCAGGGTTCCCCACGACGTCTGGCACTACCTGTTTGCCCTGTGCTTCGATCAAGACCAAGGAAACGGCATTCTCAGTTTGATGTTCACGTGTCGGTACATGCATGAAATCGGCGTCAACTATCTGTATTCTCAAGCGAACATCTTCTTCTCCGGCCTGGATGGGAACTTAGTCCAATACACCAGGGGAAACTACCTCGCCGCCTCCGAGTTTGTACTCAGGCACTGCAAGGCTATCAGAGACGTCATGCTCCTCTGCGACGACGAACCTTTTCTTCCTCGATTCAGTTTTGTGTCAACGATTCCACACCTGCGCAGTTTGAACCTTGTCACCCTTGATATTACTCAAGATGTTCACACATTTCTCCTCGGCATTCCCAATCTATCATCTCTCGGTTTCCTGCGTTGCTGGATCGAAGCCGGTAACAATCTATTCGAACTTCCTCCTCAACAACATGTGGGCCTCCAGTGCCTAGAAGTCAGCACGCTGAATGTGGCGATCCGAGATCCCTTTGGCGAGGACATAGCATGCCAGGAGTTCATGGCATTTTGGACGGCATGGGTTGGTCCTTCTCTCAACATGCTTGATTTTGAAGGGCCTCTCTTCAGAGTATTTGGACATGATGAGATCAATCATTACGACAGAGCTTCAAGGAATCTGCGTTTTTTGGAGCCCTTGTTTGCAAGCATTCCAGCCACGATCACGCACCTGAAGCTGTCATTAACGGCTATGGACTCCGAGGCCCTAGCCGGTCTGCTTGCCAAACTGACAAACTTGCGTGCGTTCATATGCACTCAGCATTCACCAGATCTTCCCGCTGCCCTTAGCCGGCCAGTCTGGAGTGGGCTTTCCAATCTCACATGGGTGTCTGTAACACCAGAATATCTACAAATAATTTGGCCTCTTGCCTATGCGACGCTTTGATCCATTGGTATTGTCATCTATGCTACAAATCTAACCGCTGAGTAGGTTTTGCGGTGTCGTAGCGCCCATTCCGAGGTACTGGAGAATTTCATCACCTGAAGGAACGATATTGATACTGATACACTCATGCCCTTTTGTAGCTCGTCCACAATTGCTTTAAGCGCAAACAAATGGAGGAAGTGAAGCTTCATTTAGGAGATTTTGAGTGGTGCCAAACGGTTGGTCCCTGTTAATCGATGTGAGCACGTCTGACTGGATAATCTAGAGCACTCAGGTTTTCGATGATACTGTCCTGGAACCGGCACTCGACGGCGATATCACGGTCTCGGAACCCAAACCCGATGGCAAGCCCAAACCGAAGAAGAAATACGACGTGAAAATGTCGACGGTGCCACTCGTCGCTCACGAACGGATTCCAAACAATCGCCTGTTTCGAACGTTTACTGTAACAAGACATGGGACGATAGTCGACACCAAGAATCACGCCTGGTTGGGAGAGCCACTTCAACATTCAAGGCAGCAGAAGATTCAATACCCTGAAAGATGGGCGATGGTCTATGAGAATCATAGAGCCGTTGCGGCTTTGATTCCTGCTCCAACCATCGAGAATGAGTCCTGAACAAGCTCATCCGTGTTCAACACAGGGAACGAGTGAATCGTCGTACCTTTCATTTTGCTTTACATATCCTTGCACCCTCATTTGTGACTGTCTTCTATTATTCCTGTGCCTGGAACCAGCACACTGCTACATAGATACGTCATGCTTGCTAGTCTTAGTAGTACAATGGATGCAGGTCAAGCATGGCTTTGAGCCGGTCTGCGCCCGCGAGTTGGGAGATGTGGATCCTGGGCCTGAGCAACCATGTCGCGCGCGATCTAACATATGCTGTGAAATCGGAGGGATTGCGGATATATATAGTCGCAGACATGGCAATCGTGGTCCTCAGGTTGAGGAGACCTCTAGGTTTGTTGGGGCTGTCTACACAGGGGCATATATCTTGGTTCGTTGAGCACGTCCCAACGCGTGATATAGACGGCGATTTGCTCGTTACATATCAAGGACAGAATCCGCCGTTGCATGGAACAGCGCCGAAGGCTGGGGCGGTCGCAGGAGAGCGGGGACGTGTGTTCGGCCCCCTTCGCACGATTTGCTTTCTTTACATCTCCACTTAATCAAGCATTACCCTTTTCGGGCGCGTCCGCGATCCGTACCACGCGTCGACCACGTGATACTACGTGTCATCCCCTGTTCCCGTGCAAACCATCACCATCTCTCTGAGATCATTCCAAAATACCACGTCTGAGACGGCATCTCCTGCATATATACTGACGAGAGGGCAAAGCAGGATCAACCTTGTATCTCAACCATCGACTCGTTACTGCGTGACAGCGGCAAAAGCTCATACCCGATTACCTCGACGCAACCTGTCCTGCTCTTTATGGATACATCTTGTCTCCGAGCTCCATCTAGCTAATTATGATCATTCTTGGGTGCTTGCCTGATGTGACGCCATGTCGATCGCACTATGATACTATATTTTCCCAGGGGACAGGCTGCAGGACGTGCAGAGCATACAGGCTTGTCGGTGAGTATATGATCACCCATTGGCGTGGTTGTGCTGCTCAAACCACACAAGGCTACGACCACCTCTCCTCTGCCCACCACCGTTCCACCACACCAACAACAAAAACAAAACATGGCGCGCCTCTCCTGTTGCTCTCAGGGTGTAAATCTTCGTAAAGGAGCAAGTGGTGAGCTCCCGGAGGAACCAAGAGAGACGATACCCCCTCTTGCTGGCGGTCGTGTGAGCCACAGCGGACGCTCCAGCTCGCTATCGCATCAGGAACCTGTTCAAAAAGGTGGAAACTCCGTAGAGTGCAAGGACACGCCGACCTGGAGAGTGTCTGGTTGGAACGTGAAAGAGGTGAACAAGCAGGAAGGAGCAATGGCCAGAATGCAGGAATGGGTGTCGTGATTGAACCAGTACGAGGGCTCTTCGTGTTGTGGCCGAAGTACTGATCAAGAGTAGTTCGTACACGCGTTTCGTCGTTCTGGGATGTCGCTTGTCAGGGGTCAACCTATGTTGTCTGGGCCTTTGCGTTGGGCCTTTGCTTTCACACAATCCCCACCCCCTCACGCCCACCCCTATCCACTTCTCCGAACACACACGAGACACTTGATAGCATGCAAGATGCTTAGTGCTACTGGATATCGACATGGTCCGATGATATTGACCATCCCCTCGCTCTTCCCCCTCCCTGCACCTAGTGTCATGATAACTTGAACTGAGCTCCAGTATGCTCGATATTGGGTTGTTTAGGCATCAGGGCTACCTGAGATTGGACCTTCACCCTTGATGCAAGATCTGAACGGCCCAGGGAAAGCAGTCGACTTCACCCCACCCTTGATACACCTCTCTCCTTCCCGATTCAAAGCTTTTCCCGCAGAGAGCACGTATTACGGCCCTCTACCTTGCACATAACCTCAAACCGGACCTCGACAGATATTCAAGTGGAGTTACACCAGTCATCGTTTAGCGGTGGCTTTGACCACGGTGAAAGCAAGGGACTGGAAGGGTCGGATGGCGATACAGAGGGCTGTCCCCCGGAGTCTGCGTCGAGGAAAATGGTATGGCCGTGGTTCAAGACATTGCCATCGGGTTTGGGTTCCGAGACCGTGATATCGCCGTCGAGTGCCGGTTCCAGGACAGTATCATCGAAAACCTGAGTGCTCTAGATTATCCAGTCAGACGTGCTCACATCGATTAACAGGGACCAACCGTTTGGCACCACTCAAAATCTCCTAAATGAAGCTTCACTTCCTCCATTTGTTTGCGCTTAAAGCAATTGTGGACAAGCTACAAAAGGGCATGAGTGTATCAGTATCAATATCGTTCCTTCAGGTGATGAAATTCTCCAGTACCTCGGAATGGGCGCTACGACACCGCAAAACATACTCAGCGGTTAGATTTGGAGCATAGATGACGATACCGACGGATCGAAGCGTCGCAAAGGCAAGAGGCCAAATTATTTGTAGATATTCTGGTGTTACAGACACCCGTGTGAGATTGGAAAGCCCGCTCCAGACTGGCCGGCTAAGGGCAGCGGGAAGATCCGGTGAATGCCGAGTGCATATGAACGCACGCAAGTTTGTCAGTTTGGCAAGCAGACCGGCTAGGGCCTCGAAGTCCGTGGCCGTTAATGACCTGACCACGGTGAAAGCATGGGACTGGAAGGATCGGATGGCGAGATAGAGAGGTGTCCCCTGAAGTCTGTGTCGAGGTGGTATGGCCCGTTGGAGAACGTGGTGCAATTCGTCATCTCCCTGGTCTTCCCGCTGCTCTTAGCCAACCAAACTGGAGCGGTCTGTCAAATCTCACTCGGGTTTTTGGAACATCTAGGAACCATTTGTCCTCTAACCTGTGCGGCACTTCAATCTATCGGTGTCATCCTCCATGATGAAAAGCCTACCGCTGAGGTGGTTATGCGGGGTTGTGCGAGCAATTCCAAGGTACTGGAGAGTTTCATCACCTGAAGGAACGATATTGACACTGATAAACTTGTGCCCTTTTGTAGTTCGTCCACCGTTGCTTTGAGCATGCACAAATGGAGGAAATCAAGGTTCATGTAAAAGATTTCGAGTGGTGTCAAACGGTTGGTCGCTGTCAATGGCTGTGAGCAGCTCTAACTAGATGTACTAGAGCGCTCAGATGTTCGATGAGACTGTCCTGGAACCGGAGCTCGACGGCGCTATCACGGTCTCGGAACCCCAACCCGATGGCAAGCCCAAACCGAAGAAGAAATACGACGTGAAAATGTCGACGGTGCCACTCTTCGCTCAC